ATCAAAGAAAGAAGATCAAATTCGTGCTTTTAAGAAATTTGTAAATGATAAGTTAACTGGAGATGAATTGAAATTTATATGTAGAATAATTTGTAAAGATTTAAAGATTAGAGCTGGACCAAAATATTTATTAGCAGCACTTCATTCTGATGCTTATCAATCCTATATTTTAACACATGATTTGAAACAAATTGTTGGAAGACTCTACTTGTGGAGAGATACTGACAAGATCAAACAAAGCAATAAACAATCGTTGATAAACTAATGATAATTCAAAATTTTGTAAAATAATAAAATCAGCCTTCAAAATTTCAAAGCCTTGAAATGTTTCACTCAAGTGAAATTCAATACAATGAATGTATTGATGATTGTTGTTGGATTCATTAAGGTGAATCATGTTATTGTTTGTTTTTTTTTGCATGAGTGGATCACGATAAATGTTACAACAAAAATCAATTAGCAAATTCACATGGAATCGAGGTCACGTTTTTTCCCAAGAAGAACAGTAATCAGGAAATGGCACCAAAGTATGACAATTCCAAGTTGGCTCAACTGGTTGAGTCAAACAAGTTAAAGTGTCAGTTTACCAATAGACCGTTGATATCAGAAGACAAGGTTTCTGCTGATCACATGGAAGTGAATGTCAATGGTCATAAGGTCGCATATTTCCGTTCATTCTGTTCATTTAAGATGAATTTACTGATTGGAAGAATAGAAATGATTTTCAGAAAGAAGGGGAATGATAAAAATGAAACTCTTTCTTACTTTAGAACAGTGTTGGACTGTATTAGATCGCCAAGAGATCTTGAACAAGAAGAAATAGCTTGCAAAATTACAATTTCCAGTACTCATTTCGAAGATGGAAAGTATTATTCAAGAAAAGACGTTCAAAAGATGATAAAGGAGCACTCTAAATAAGTGGAACTGTTCTGCAACTGTTGCACGGTTAGAAAAATAATAGTTTCCTTGTAAATTACAAAATAAAGTGAATGTTAAAAACGTATAGTTAGTAATTTTTTTCCATTTAGATTTTTTAATTTTTTAATAAAATATTTTTATGCCCGGCATAAAATTTTTTAATAATTTTTTAAAAAATTTTTTAAAAAAAATGCCTCCAAAAACAACAACAGTCTGTCCTATGGATTCCGATGAAGAAATAATAATTTCATTCCGAGGTATCGAAAAAAAGATTTGCTTTAAACAAAATTATCAATGTAATGATGATGTAATCTACTTGTGTACTAATAATAACAACAAGAAAAGAAAAAATGATCATAACAACAAAATTGATGAAAATGAACCAAAAGTTGATGAAGATGAAGAGAAATTTGATGAGAATGATAAAAAGAAAGATAAAAATAGTGAACCAAAAGTTGATGAAGATGAAGAGAAATTTGATGACGATGATAAAAAGAAAGCTGAAAATAATGAACAACAAGTTGATGACAATAGTGAAAAGAGTAAAAATGAAAAACCAAGAGTCGCAAAAAAGAAGAAATATTCTACTAATAGAAGAAAGAAGCAAAAGAATACTAATAGTGAACCTGTGGATGTATATGAAATTGAAAAAATTTTAGATTCAAAAGATATTAATGGAAAAACTAATTATTTGGTCAAATGGAAGGATTTTCCAGAAAGTGAAAATTCTTGGACATCAGATGTAGATGCAGAAGAGTTAATTCAAGAATTTAATAATTCTAAAGCAAATAAGAAACCAGAATATGAACAATACTATTATAATCTAATCCAAGATATTAACAAGGAAACAATTACTTTTGAAGATATTGTTAACAAAATAGCATCACTTAAAAGCATTAATATTCATTCAGTCAAACAAAAGATATTAACTATGACTCGTCAGAATTGTACTGACATTATTAGAGAATTTTCAAACACAATGGATGATAATATGAATATTTTAACTAATGCAAGATATATATTACTTTATATTTTATTTACGAAAATTAAGTCTCTAGATCATGGTAAGAAAAAGAAAGCTTTTGAAGAAGCAGGCTTTGATGGTAAACAATATGGTAATTACAAAAACGAGAGCCAAATTGGATATTTAATTGTTAAGTTTCCAATTTTAGTTTTATATCCAATAACTTTAAAAAAGTTATTAGTACAAAACTTGACAAATATTATCAATTTATTTTCAAATAATCTTGAACAAAAATTTCAATTTGAACAAAATATTATTGACTTTATTTAATAAACATTTTTTAAAATTATGACAGGAAATAAACGGAAGTCTTCCACACAAGATAGAAACTCTGGAGGAAGAAAGCGAAAGACTACACAAGATAATAATTTATACAATGAAGTATCTCAACAAAACGAAGAACAACAAAGTAATTATTCTTCTTGTTCCATGTCATCCAACATGTTGAGATCTTCCCAATCAATATCAATCTCATCATCCTCAATAATTGGAGGAATATCAGTAGTGCCATCCGATGCAGAACCAACTGGATTTTCAGAACGATTTTCAGAACTTGAGCTCACAACAGCTTTTTTCAATTCATTCCAAAACTTGCCAGACTCTTCCCTCCCAAAGTTTTGTTCCAAAAAGTAGATGGTAATATTCTTCACCATCTTCTCAGATCCGAACAGGGAGTAATCGAGGGATACTGGCAGCAACAGTGGAAATCTATCTAACAACATGCCTAAAAACAAAACCTTCACTGCTTTTGTGGGATTCATGTGAGGGCAATGCTCCCTTATAAAATCTCCCTTCTTGCCGTGCAAAGTACTCTTAAAGTACTGGTCTCCCAAATCCATGAAGAGTCTCAAATATGAGAGGTTTTGCATCATGATGTGAAGTGATGCTAACCCATCCACCACCTTCAATGAGCCCAAAAAAATGTCTGCCAAACCAGTAGGACGCTCCTTCAATAAGAAATTTGAAATCTCTTTAATGGTTGGAAAGTGATGCATAGATTCCAGTAGCTTTGCTTTCAGAGAAGTTAATCTCTTGGGAGTTGTGTTATTTTAACAAATGATCAACAATGTACAACTTACCTTGTCCTTCCTCCAATCCTCTAATTCACCATCCTTCTTTTTCTTCTTTTGTGATGGCTCTGATTCTTCAGAGTCAAATTGGATGCCATCACTCCCTTCCTTGGCCAATTCACCTTCTTGTTGATTCTAGCACGGTTAATTTATATACCAATCAAATGATAACTTACCTTTCTCTTAATAGAGGTCTTACTAGAAGGAGGAACATTACTTGGGGCAATGGTCTTCTTCTTCTTCTTCTTCATCAACATGGATGAAAAACAATAATTGAGGCTCCCTCAAAAATAAAACTTACCTCCTTACTACCTGAAGAGGGCTTCTTCTCAGACACCTTACCTATACCATTCAATCTCTTATCACAAAAATGAAAAACAATAATTGAGGCTCCCTCAAAAATGAAACTTACCTCCTTACTACCTGAAGAGGGCTTCTTCTTGGAAACTTTACCTAATTTGCTTGAAATGATCTCATCTTCCTCAGAGAATACATCATCTTCCTCCTCAATGGATAATTCCTCTTCTTCTTTTTGATTTCTCCTGCTTGAGGATGCCTTACCTGATCTATTCTCTCTTGATGACTTTCCCTCCTTCTTTTCAATTGGAGAAGACTTCTTCTTGGAACCAACCTTCAACATATTAATACTTTCAAACTCTTTAAACTTACTTTTGTAACCTGTATCGGAACTGATGGATCCAGTGAATACAAGACACCTTCTATAAGCAAGTTCTTAGCCTTGGCATTTACAAAGAGCTTGTATTCTTTCATCAACGGATTGGAGGATTGCTTACTGGTCATTTTTTAGTTGGGTTGAGTAAATCAATAGTGCAGTGAATTAATATTATTTGATTTATTTAATATTTCTCTTCATCTTGTTTTGATTTTTGGGAATTGAATTATTATTTGGAACAAACTTGAATTTATCCCAGTCAATTTTAATTGTAGAGGAAGGCTTGTTCTCTCTCTTCGTATTTTCTTCCAATAATTTGAAAACATTAGGATCATCATGTTTGTATACTTCCACAATCAAATTGTTTGGATGTCGAACATCCTTTTGAAAAGTTAATTAATTGATTTAAATACAACCTACATTGGATTTATCTGTTTTGGTGACATCTTCATCATGGGATGATGAACTTGTAGATGAAGAATCAGAGGATGATTCTAAAAAGAAAAAGAAGAATAAGAAGGCTCCTAAGAAGATTAAAATATCAACCAAGATGAAACTTTTCCATCCTGTCAAACCAATGCTTGCTCGTCCAAGTAAGACTTATGATGATGTTATTGCTCGTTGTCCAAATGGTTTTTATTCTGAACTTAAATATGATGGTGAAAGAATTCAAATTCACTATGATAGAAAAAATGATGAAATCAAATATTTTAGTAGAAATTTGAAAGATGTTCAAGAGTATAAGATCAAATCTGTAAAAAAGTATATTTCTAAAGCTATTAAGGAAAAGGTTGAATCTGTAATTTTAGATGGTGAAATTTTAATGATGGATACAAAGACAAATAAGATTCTTCCATTTGGTACACTTGGTAAAAATGTTAGACAAGATCACAAAGATGCTGTAACAACTATATTTTTATTTGATATATTGTATTATAATGGTAAATCACTCCTTTCAGTTCCTTTATATAAGAGAAAGGCATTAATGACTAAAATTGTAAATCCAATCAAACATAGAGTAATGTTAGGTGAATATTTGGTTGTAAAGGGTTCAAAACAAACAAGAGAAGCTATTGTTTCTGCTGAAATGAGTGCAATGATTAAGAAGGGTGAAGAAGGTTTAGTGGTATGTATTATTTTCAAATTTATTATTAATTTTTTTATTAACAATTTTACATATTAGTTAAAAGATTTATGTTCTCCATATGAACCTAATGCTAGACATTGGCTTAAAATGAAAAAAGATTACTTGAAAGGTATGGCAGATAGTGTAGATCTTGTTGTTCTAGGAGCTTATCTTGGTACAGGTAGTAAAGGTGGTTTAATGTCTGTATTCATGATGGGTTCTTTTGACAAGAAATTAGGAAAGTGGAGAATTATTTGTAAATGTGGTAACGGACACGATGATCAAACTATTGAAACATTGAATGAAGAATTGAAATCAAATATGAAAAGAATCAGTAAGGATCCTTCATTGGTTCCAGATGATATTGATATTCATACTAATGCTCTTGTACCTGATTTTATTGTTAAAGATCCAAAAAAGAGTGTTGTTTGGGAAATTCAAGGAGCTGAATTTTCAGTTTCCTCAAGAAAAGACAGACCAATTTCTGTCAGATTCCCTAGAGTTACAAAAATTAGAGATGATAAGGATGTTTTAGATCATACCAATTATCAAGAAATTATCAAATTGAAAAATGAAAGTAATAGAAAAGGTTTAGTACCTATTTTTGGAGATGGAGATGCAGGAGATGATTCTGATGAAAGTGTAGATGTAAAAGATAAAAAGAAACGTTCCAGAGCTAAAAAGTCAAAATCTGATGATGAAGATGATGAATCAGATTCAAGCTCAAAGAAAAAGAAAAATTCAAGAAAGAAGAAGATAAATTCCTCAGATGATGAAGATGATGAGGATGATAAAAAGTCAGCTAAAAAGCCTAATGATAAGAAAAAATCAAAATCCTCAGATAATTCTGATGATGATGATGATCCAAAAGCAAAGAAAGCTAAAAAGTCAACTATTGGTATCAAATTATCTGATATTGATACTATTAATAACTCTTCTACTCCAGAACAAATCTATTACATTTATGGTGATTTTATGAAAATGCCAATGAATAAGGAAGAAAAACTAATTTCACATTGTGTAGATGACTCTAGTAGATGGTCAGATAAAGGATCAATGGGAAATATTGAACTCTTGTATGGTGAAGATATTAAGAAGGCTTACACTGATGATATGAACATAATTGGTGATGCTCAAATTGTTGTAGCATTACCAAATCATTTATGTAATATGGTATGTCTTCAATTTGTCAAGAAAGGATCTGCACCAAAAGTTGACTATCATGCTTTGGATGAATGTTTAAAGAAATGTGCTACCTACATGAATCAAAAAAAGATTGGTACATTCCATTTATATAGATTGCATCACGCCATTTCTGGTTTGGATTGGAATAGAGTTGAACAACTTTTGAAGGAAAATCTTTCAAACAAGGGATTTGCTGTTTTCATCTATACAAAGGATAGAGATGATAAGGATAGAGTTAATGAATCAAAAAATAAGTTGGCTAATAGACCTACAACTGATAACTCGGCTGCTGCCTCAGATTCATCTCATAAGATGGATACATCTGATGATAATGCTCCAACAACATCAACAAATAAGATGACCAAATCATCTTCACAAACATCAATCAAAGTTGAAGAGCAAGATAGTTCCAGCAATAACACTTTTTTCAGAAATGTTGTTGCTTTAATTTCTGGTTACAGCAATTCTGAGAAGGAGGCAATTAGCAAGTTTATCACCAACAATGGAGGAAGTGTAACAAATAATTGGAACATTATTGGAAATGCAAATACTCACCTCATTTGTGAATCAGAAACTGAAGATTTTAAACATTGTTTCAATCTTGGATCTCTCATTGTTACCAAATATTGGGTCTTTGAATGTGCCACCAAAGGATATTTGGTTGATACATTACCATATCATTATCCTACCAAGAAGGCTCAACTTGTTAAACCAACAATAGTGAAAGCAGAAAGCTCCTCTCTCACTGCACCACCAGAACTTACTTCATTGTGTGATTTATTCACTGATATGGTCATGTACATTCATAAGGATGTTCCTGCTCTCAAGATGCACACTAGATATATTATTGCATTTGATGGAATTGTAGAATCATCATTTAGTGATGATATCACTCATATTATCACATCATCATCGAGAATTACACCAGAGATTGCCAAACTTGTTTCAGAAAATCCACAAGTCAATGTAGTTTCTTCTGAGTGGATCTGGCATTCAATCAACACAAGTACTTTAATCGATTGGAGACTCTACCAAATTAAGTAAATTATTAAATATTACATTATAGAAATTCTATATTTTTGATTTTATATTCTTTTAATTGTTATTTTATTGTTTCTAAACTTCATGAGCTGAATATTGATTTCCTTCCATTCTAATCTTTTGGGAAAACCATGAATTCTCTAATACATAAGTAACATCAGACTCTTGAGATAATCTCTGTAAAACACTTCTCAATTCTTGTTTATATTTAATTGACATTAAAATGAGAGCAATAGAGTGAGCAATTAAAAGCAAGGAAATACCTATTGCCAATAGAGAACCGACCAAAATTGGTTGTGAAGTATCATACTTCTTCAAGGTAGAAAAACCACTAACAGCAGCCATCAAAGCGAGAGAATTAATTGTCACGAGGGTGGAAACCGATATTGTTTGAATTGTAATTGGCCCAACATGTTTTATGGCACACTTATTAATTTGTTCCAAGTGTGAGTCGAAGGTCTCTGGAGCGAGAATGCTTGAAAACTGGGAAGGAAATTCGCTGGTAAATTGCTTTGCAGATCTATCGAAAGGAATGAGGGCTTGCATTTTTTTTGGTGAATTATTGCAATGTTTAATTGGAAGCCAATTCACTCCTGATGATTGGAAAGCTGAGTTGAACAATTCTACATGGCAATTAACATAAACTGCCAATTAAATACTTAATTAATAAAATTGAATTAAATATGTACTTAAAGTGGAAACCATTACACAGGTATTGGATGCTGCAAGAAGAAAGGGTTTTTCCACATGAAATAGAGTGTTTCATTAGTATTCATAATTAAAGACATGATTGCAATATTCACATAACAAATCATTCAAACTGAAAATAGCAATCAGTGAGTATTGATTGATTTCTAAGATAAGTAGCTAACTTGGGATAAATGACTGCTGAAAATGTTTTGTAAAAAACAACTGTACTTGAATGTGCAGTAATTTGATAATTGTTTCCAGGAATTCCATCAAATTCTTTTGAAGCATCCACCACAAATCTCATATTATGACTATTGCTTATCGCATAAAATAAGCCATTGAATTCAATAAAGAATATATCCTTAATATATCTAATCTTTGCATTGTCTGAATTGGATTCAGAAAATTTTGGATAACAGCTCAAAAACTGTTTCAAATTCTTATATTCCAGCATTGCACTTCCATATAACATGTAATTCTCATAAGTTGGAGTAGTGTTTGCAAATCTCACTACCGAGCAATCGTATCCTCCAAAAGCTTCAGAAATTTTCATTTCATAATCCACAGAAAAATGTGCGGTACCTTCAGTATGTGGCATCTGATTACTTCCATTATCTCCACAAAACATTACAGTATCATCTTCAAATATTACAAAAAATTGAAAGCTTCCACATTCAATTTTCTTAATTTTCTTTTCACAATAAAACTGGCTTACATGCCAACCCATTACCGTGTGAACAGAATTCACCCAATCCTGACCTGAAATTCTAATATCACAGTAATCCAAAACGATTATTGTAAAGGAATAACATGATGCAATATGTGTAATTTGATGTCTGTATCCATTTACGGTCGGAGGAGTGTAAAGGAGAGTAAATTTCTCCGTACCATCCTCATTCATACACTGACGATTACCTCCAAAACAATCATAGGCCGTACTGCCACTTCCATAGAGAAATGTATTATTCATCTCATCACGAACCAAATAAAGTGTTGATCCCTCCGAAAATGTCGAAACATCTTCAATCAATAATTTTCCATTTGTTGTAGTGTCGAGAAGATAAGGAACTTGAATTGTTATGTTACTACTGCTACTACTACTATCAAAACCATCTTTAAAAATATAAACCTGACCACTCTCCGATAGGACATGTACACTTGTCTGATTGATTACAACTTTTTTAATTCTCTCAAAATTGGGAATGTTAATGGTTTTGCAAGTGTTCGTATTTACAATATGAAAGGGTTCTTGGTGATTGGTTGATGATCTATCGTTGGCGTGATCGTGGTGGTAGATTTTGAGCATTTTTTTTTTTTTGATAATTTTTGTTTTTGAGTTGACTGTGAACTTGGTTACAAAAATCTCAAGTTCTTTAATGAGCAATATTATGTATTTCATAATAAGAATATCATAGCTCATAAGATTCTCCATAATTGTCAAAAAAAATAACTGACATTTAAAGAAATTCTGTCAACACTTGATAAATTCATTAAAGTGAGGAAGATAAGCGTCGCTCTCTAGGGACCCTTAAACAAACTGGGTTTTGATATTCTCATTCTAATTGTAGACTCTACCAAATCAAGTAATTTGATATTTTATAAATTTCCTTTTAAAGCAATTCTACTAATTCTCCAAAATCAAAAACAACAACTCTCAAAAAAAAAATGTTAAAAGATAAATGCATTGAAGTGATGGAACAAGTGTATGGCAATTTCAGTGGAGCACACTACAAACCCAAACCATTGAAATCTGAAACACAAACTCGATACTTGTGGACTGATGCGTTTGCAGTTTGTAATTTCCTTTCGTTGCATGTGGAAAGTGGTCAAGATTCGTATTTGGAACAAGCTAAGGCACTTATTGAAGAGGTGCATCAAGTTCTTGGAAAGGATCGTTCATTGCAACATTATTTGGGTAAGTACATGCAGTTTCTAATAACTAATCTACTAAATTATTCGAAAGGAAAATCCAATGCTGAACATCCCCTGTTGGGAGGTTTACGAATTGGCAAGGAAGCCGATGAAGATGACGAAGATGGCGATGGTCAATACTTTCACTATCTCACCAAATGGATGTTTGCCCTCAACAGAACGTCACTAATCACTCGAGATGTGAAATACAATGAATGGGCAATTGAAATGGCTCAATCCATGCATAACAAGTTTATCAATCATAGTTCTTCACGTGGATTGAGGATGTTCTGGAAGATTTCCATTGATGGCTCGAGACCAGTTGTGAGATCTGAAGGAAATTTGGATCCGTATGATGGTTATGTTACTTATAGACTTTTACAATTGGTCAACCAGCAATTAAAAGAAGGAAAGAATGTGGATGGAAGTGTTTTGAATAGAGAAATTGAAGAAATGAAGGGAATGGTGATGGGAAAGTATTTAATGTATCAGAGTTCGGATCCTCTGGATTTGGGAGAAACTCTTTGGTTGACCAGTTGGTTTCCTGATGAAGATTGGGCGAATCATATGAGAAAAGTTGCCATTTCTAATATTGAAGAGATATTCGAAAGCACGATTAAGAGTACTAGAAGAAGATTAGGTTTCAGAGACTTTGGTGTTTCGATTGGATTGCAAACTATTCCAGAAAATGAAAAAGATGGAGAAACTAGACGAATTGTTGAGAATATTCACTCTCTATGGAAAGATCATCTATTCGAAAGAGATCATGACATAACTCCGGTCATGTACTGTTCATCTCTTTTACCTGGCGTCTTCAATCCCAACTTTCTATATTAGATAATTAATAAATTTTTAAACAACCATCAATTATTGTAATAAATTTAAACAATTGTTTAAACATGAACATTTTATTTGTCAAACTTTTCCTTTTTTGGGTCTGCTGTTCAGTGATGGAACTGAACTACAAAAATCTTCACTGAAAAAACTTAAAAATTTCATCTCTCTCACTACACATCAACAACAGCACTAACCGCCTAACAAAATGCAATAAAAAAAATGAAACAACTCACAAAACTCTTGAAATTCTTTCCAAGTTCAGAAAGTGAAGTTTTTTCAATGGTGGAGGAACCTGAAGTGAAATCACCACTTGTTGAGAATGTGATTGCTGAAACGGATTGTATTTTGGCATTGATAGGGACTGGTGGGTGTGGAAAGAGTAGGTTGTTGAATTATTGACACATTTGGTGAACTTGATTTTTGACAGCTTCGATATTGAAGAGAGCTGGGATTGAAAGTAATATTAATCGATTTAATAGAAATATTTACTCGTTGCTTTTATCTTGTTTATTGAATTTTGAAGGATTAGAAATGAAATTTAAGGAAAAGGAAAATTCGAATAATTATTTGAATAGGGTGAAACTACTCTCTGGTCAGGAGTATTCTCTTTTTCCAGAGAGTGTGTGGAACAATGAATTAGCAAAATTGATATTTCAAATGTATCAAGATGAAGGATTTCAAAATGAATTATTCCAGAATAGGCAAAGAATTCCATTTTTGGAAAGTATTAATTATTTTACTGACAAGAAAAACTCTTCAAGATTGTTAAAAAATGATTTTCAACTCAATTTTGATGATTTCTTCTTTGCTTCTCGCAAAACAACTGGAATTTCACCCTTCAAATATGTCAACAATCACAAAAAGGCAATTATTGACACTGGTAAGTTGACATTTTTAATGAACTCAACAATTCGAATACTCTAACAGGTGGACAACGTACCGAACGTTCCAAATGGAACAGACTCCATAATACTTACTCTCAAAAACTCCACATTGGATTCGTCATTTCTCTAAGTGAATTTGATGAGTTGTGTTATGAAGATGACATTACTCCAAGATTCAATGAAGGATTATCGAATTTTGAGGAATGGTATGGATCCCCATTGGTTTCAGAGCATACACTCTATTTGATATTCAGTAAATTTGAAGTATTGGAAGAAAAGATTAAAAAGGGAATTTCCTTTTCGAGATTTGTTTCAGAATTTAAAGGAGACGAAACGAGTATTGAAAGCATTGTTGAGTTTATCGTGAAAAAGTATTTGGAATTGGATGTGAAGAGGAGAGTTGTCAAGTATTATGTAATATCTGCATTTAAAACTGAACAAGTTTATCAAATGCTGAATGAAATATTTGAAATTTAAAATCGAATAGAAAGTAAACTAAATCTTAGTAATTTTACAAATAAAATTTGGATAAACAGAGGTTGCCTCACTAAACAATTCCAATTTGATTCTCTGATTTCTTTCACAAAACTTTTCCAACTTGAGTAAATCTCGTTTTCCACAATAATACTTAATGTTTCGAATATAATTTGATTTCAACAATGGTTTCAAAGCTTTAAATGGAGTACAAGCTCTTCTCTTTCTAAATTTCACAGTATCCAAATTAGGAAGTGAATATTTTTTAAATAATTTCATCATTGGCTTATCAGCTTGAGTAATCCCCAACGTTTTGAGTTTGTGAAATTTAGATTGTAAAATTGAAATGATATTTTCACTTGTCAAATGATTATTGAAATTGAGTTGTGTTAAATTTGGTAAATTTGCATTGATTAGAATATCAAATTGTTCCTGATCCGCTACATTCAATTCTAAATATTGTAAGGATTCCAATTTTGAAATGTATTTCACATCCTCCATGTCCAAATAAGGTTTTTCATCATACCCATACTTTGGTTTAATTACTAATTTGGTAAATTTGATTTGTTTGGAAAGTTTTGAAAATGAATTACCTCCAAAATATGAATAAATTCTTATATCATTGAGTTTTGGTAAATTTTCAAGAATGGTCAATGGAGTTTTTCCTAATGAAGATGAACTGTGAATAATTAATTTTTCCAAATTTGTAAATTGATCAAAATTCTTCAAGCCACCATTCAAAGTTTTCATGTAAATAAATTTCAATTTTGGTGCATTCATAGATTTTGGAATTATAATTTCATCCAATGGGAGAGATCGTGGCCTCAATTCCAATTCTTCCAAATTTGGAAGATTACTCTTTTCCAAAATTGAAATGCAATGAACTCGCAATTTTACCAAATTTTGAAATGAAATTGGGGAAGAGGATGTTTGAGTAGAGAGACATTCAAGATTTGGAAAATACTTCTCATTTGGAATTTTTAAGGTCGTCTTGGAACCATCATCAAACACACAAGCGAAATCTTTCATTTTTTCACATAATCTATTCGAATCTAATAATTTCTCAATTGGGCATTCGGTATTTTGATGATGAATATAAATTTTGCAACTTTCCAACTTGGGATACAAATCATTGATGAGAACTTCAACTGATCTATTCGACATGTATAAATATTTGACTGTCAAATGTCTCAAATTTGGAAAAATTCTTGTGACTTGATTCATCCATGAATCATTTGTTTCACAAAATTTACAAACAAGTTTCAACGACTCGATTCTTTCCAAACTATTTTCTATTGAATTCCAATCAAGTTTCCAATTAAATCTAATTTCTAATTCTTTACATTTTGTAAACTTTTCAATAATTTTAATTGAAACATCTCTTTCTAATTCAATAACTGCTTTGGAAAAGAATTGAATGAACTCTAGATTAGGGAAATTGCCCTCCAGTGAATAACATTTGACTGGTTTCGTAACAAGGTATGTAAATCTATTCGAAAATGTTAACGAAACTGTTTCTAATTTGCAAACTGTTCTCCAACAAGAACACACTTGAGAAAAGTCAAGAATTTCATCAATTCTTAATCCTTCTCCGATAAATTGTAAAATATTTAAAATAATTAATTCAATATTATGCCAATTACTATACGAAACGTTTCTATTCGAAACATTTCCACCAAACATTTTGGAAATTATTCCAGATTGTTTTCCGACAATATTTGTTTGTTGATCAGTGATGGCAGGTTGAGACTCCTCACTGTTTAAAATTTTACTTTTAATAACGCCAAACTTTCGTTTAAACATTTTTTAAAGTTTAGGATAGATTAGTTCTGATCAATCTAAATCTTTATTAGAACATATGGTTGGAACAACGCATAAATGGCACTGCCCACAGTCTATATCCTTATATCTCTCAAATTTTTCTTTCCACAAATCATTTCCACTTGTTTTTCTCCAATTCGATTGGAAGAAATATAAAGTTGTGTCAATTGAGGCATCTCAATAATTGTTTCACATCCGCCCTCATTTAGAAAATTCTCCTCAATATTCAATTTTAAGAGTTGTTTCATTGAGCTCACAATTTTAGCTCCTTCATCATCTATTTGATTTCCACAAACATTAAGAGATGTTAATTGTGTCAATTGAGTAATGTGAGATAGACCTTCCTTTTCAATATTATTGAATGCAATGTTGAGATGTTTGAGATTTTTCATTTCTGCTAATAAATTTGCTACTTCTGGTCCAATGTTATTATTTTCAATGTCCAATGTGGTCAATTGGTGCATTTGGCTTACAAGTTGTGAAAGTTCAGGAGTTTTTGTATCGTAGAAAATATTTCCAAGGTTAAGAGAGGTTAAATTCTTCTTTTCAGTAATCAATTTCACTCCATTAATAGTTATTTCATTGCCTTGTATAGAAAGTTCTATCAAATGGTTCAATTGACTGATAGCTTTAATTCCTTCAAAACCAAACATGTTGAATCCAATGTCAAGAGCAGTCAACTGTTTCATTTCGCTTATGTAATTAGCACCCTCGTCTCCAATGTTGTTTCTTTCCACATTGAGCTTGACCAAATTCTTCAAGTTTCTAATAAATTTTGCTCCCTCACTCAAAATATTATTGTTTCCAATATCGAGCTCAGTTAATTGGTTCAATGTGGATATATATTTTGCACCTTCCGTACCTATTTCGTTTGTGTTGATATCTAATTTGGTCAATTTGCTCATTTCACTAATGAGCTTGGCATCACCACATTGTAAATAATTGTAACCACCGTTAAGACTGGTCAATTGAGGCATTACAATCAAAAATTTGATTCCTTCTCCACTAATATCACACCTCTCAATATCTAGTTCAGTCAACTGACTCATCATGCCAATCTGTCTCATATCATTATCTTGAATTCCATTAATTCCCAATTTAGTCAACTGTCTCATCTCACTAATCGCCTCAATACTACTGCTAGTATCATTTGTTTCAAGTGTAAGTTCATTCAATCTTTCCATTCTTTCGAAAACTTTCATAAAATTCATCATCTCTATCGAAACACAAATAAATTGAATTTTTGTAAAACATTTCAAGAATTGACTATTAGTCAAATTCATTAATCGATTCGAAATTGGTTTGTCAATCATGATCAGAGAAAGATCTTTTCGTTCCTTGATGATTTTCAACCATTGTTTTGAAATTAATGCACAATTTAATAAATTTTCTTTCCAATATAAATTGTCATCATTGAAAAGAAAGGAAATTATTTCGAATACGATATATCAGGGAAAACTTCCTTCTTACTTTCCATCATGTTGTTTTAGAATAGTTTTCCAATCCTAATAAATGTTTGACAAAATAGCGTGAATTAGAATAGGCCAATTTCGTCTATTTTTTTTTGAATGTTATTCTTCGTCATTATTGTTGATTTTCTGTGGAAGTTAACAAGAACAACATAAAAACATGTGCTGATTTGGAAAGTTGCATGTTGCCAATGTGTCATTGTAAAGAGCACTGTAGTCAACTGTGTAATTTAATCATGGTTGTATTAAACATTGTAAAGTTTCCTGTAAATATTGTATTTCACAGAGGCGGTCCATTTATCAGTGATTGTATGATGGCTGCAATCTTGGTTGTTTTGGAAAGACTTGTCCAAAAAGAATCGTGTTAATTCACGACTTTTGACATTTTCACATTGTGTTGACAAATATTTACAAAAAAAACACAAAAAAAAATGGCTTTCATCACTTCAGTTCTCTGCCAGCTTACCTACATTCCATTCGTCTATTGGTTCGTCGAGTTGATCCAAAACAATTTATACCTCCTTGTTACTGGAAGGTTTGTATTACATAATTTACAATAATTGTAAACAATTTAACAACAAATTAACATGAAATTGATCATTAATAGTTACGGATGGATCTACCCAACCTCTCCATACAATTATTTTACATTCGATTCTGTCAAATCATGGGCCATAATGCCAATTTTATTTTTCACCATTTATTACTTTTTCTTAATTCCAAAAAAGATTAACATTTGGTTGGGATTTGTAATTACTGGAACTGCTGGATATGTTACTGAATTCATTGTTGGTTATGTGTCAGCTGTTATCTTCCATGAAACCATGCAAGAATGGCCAAATTCCAAGTTAAAGTTCGTTGGTGGAATTGGAAGTTATATTTTGTGGATTTTGGATGCTGTCATGTATTATTGGCTTGTTTTCAAAATGCCAAAACTCTTGAGTGAAAATTTGAAAGGAAAGGAACCAAAACAACCATCAAAATAAGTTTTGAAAATTAGGAATTTTAAAAAATAAAAAATTAAAAGAATTTAATTGATAAGAATTATAATACCACTACAATGATGATGATCAAATAATTAATTTATTAACTTGTTAAATTGTTTACAATATTGGAACATGGATGTAACTCAATATATTAATTGAATGGATTATTATAATATGTAAAAATAGATAATTATCAAATTGTTTGGAACCAAAACTTGAGCAATATACTTTAATATTGGCCATTCATGATCGTTGTTTGGGATCATTGATATTTGGGAATGTTTCTAGTGATCTATCGGCAAACACTTTAAATTTAAAATTGTTAACAGCTTTCATAGCTGAGTGGAAACCTGGCCAAGATTGCTGTGCTGGAATCATTCCTCCAGGTCGTTCCTTTTATATTTTATCATATGTTGCTTAATGTTTAGAACAGTGAACTGATTTTCGCTTTTCTTCATTTTCTTTCAACAAGTTTATCATTATTCGAAACTGCAAATTCTCCTCAAAATTGACTACCAAGGAATTAAGAAATGTGCAACACATTATCAGCAACATCACCACTGAATTCTGTCAACAGAATCCATTCTTTCATCTTCCAATTCCATTCGAGGAGATTAAAAAAACAATCCGTCCAATGAACCCGCTCAAAATCTCCAACCTCCTTTTGGAATATACCCGCCACAAAACAAGTTCCAAATAACAAAACAAAAAAAACCAAACAATCATCACTGAGGGATTCTTCTTTTCCTTCTTGTCCCAGCTTGTTATTCTAACTATTTTTCAATTCCTTCAGTTAAAATTTATTATAAATTAGATTTAATTAGAGTTGGAAATTTTTATATGGAAAATGGAAGGAAATAAATCATCGTCCTCTTTATCCGATCATGATTCATTGGATAATCCTGCAGCCACTGGAGAGGTTACATTGAATGAAGCCAAGTTTCATCCAATCAGTTGTAGGCACTGTAAAAAGTTGCATAAAGTTTGTAGTAAGGAATTACCAGCATGCAGGTTTGTAAAATTGTTGGAATTTGATTTTTCATTACAACGATGAAAATTATATTGAATTTTTCAAGTGGGTGCCAATGGAGAGGTGTAGAATGTGTTTATGATGCTCCACAGAAGAAAGGAAGAGTATCTAAGAGAAAGGAATTTGAAATGAAAAAGAGTCAATCGAGTGGAAAGATTGTTTCATCTCCTCCATCGAGTGGATCTTCACATTCTACTCCATCTGGTGCTATTCCTTATGAACCAGTTCAAAGACCTGTATTGGATCAAACTCATTTAAATTGGACAAGATTATTGGATATTTATTATTCGGATTTGTTTGATGATTGTCACACGATTGAGAGAAATGATTTGGAGAGATTTCTCTTTTCCCATGCCGATGAAAATCTGCCCAACAAGAGAGAAATTATTGCCATGTCACTTTGTCTCAAAGCTCAATTAGAACAAAGCTTGTGTTTTGCTGGAGCTGAAGAAACTGCTGTTCAAGCAAGAGAAGAGCTCAGCAAACTCTTTGATGAATCTAATTTTTATGTGGCGTGTGCGTATGCACATCTGGCAAGTTATGAAATTGGATGTGGACGTTTTAGAAATGCTCGATTCTATGTGAGATGTTTGGATTTTTATTTCGATGAATTGCAGGAAGACGAAAAGTCAATGACTAAATATCAAAAGAATTTGAGGAAATGCAAGCAATTTTTAACAACTGAATCGAGGAGTGAAACTTCTCTAAAAACAATCCTTCACGATTGGTATGATATTTATGAAAAGTATTTGGGAATTACTCTTCCATTAGCTTGGAAAGATTTAATCAATCAAGACCTTACCTATGATAATTGCCTCGTTGTAATTAACATGATTGATGCAATGATTTCTGTTGGAAGAATACACTTGAAAGACTCTGGAAATATCAAGAGATTGAGATTATATGATGAGCTGGCTGAATATATTTATCATGGAATTCGTATTAGGGTTCTCAGCGAACTCAATCGTGGAAAGGATATGATTGAGGATTCAGCAATGAAAATTACAATGAAATCCGAGTCAGATCACTTTATCTTTTGTCCCTCATTTATTGTAACTCCAATTGCAGTAGCATGTAAGGTTCATCTCCACATTGCTAAATCAATTGAACTTGGTGAGAGGAAGAATTGTGATGCTGCTTCTCCTCTTGGACCAATTGATTACTTTCAAGTATTGGCAAAGGATTTGAGAGCCATCAAAACAATGGCCAAACGTTTCAAAAAGGTCAATCTAGTGCATGCATCAATGATGAAAGAAATGGAAGCCATCATTGAGAGAAAACAATTTTATAATGCCCTATCTGAGCTAATCTCCAAAACCAACACTAACACTGAGACCAGTAGCAATAATCACGATTTCACCGAGTTTGAAAACATGACCACAACAAAGGACTTTTTCCAATTCATAACCAATGGCAACAATCAAAATGGAGCCTCTGAAACCAACATTAATACAGAAGAGAGGAAGAAGGAAAGATTGGAATACGAACATAATGTGAATAGCTTTTTGACAAACTTTAATAATGTTGCTCATCCAATAATGGAAGGAACCAATGCCGATACATTTGAAGGATATATCAATTATGAGGAGATTCATCAATTGTTCAACATTAGATATGATTCACCAATTTCCTTCCTGCCCGACCAGTAATTATTTGCCATCTTGATGATAACAACAAACATCAAAATTGAGAAGGTAAAATTCCAACAAGAGAATCATGTCAAAAGTACATCCCAATCTGCAAACTTCTTCTAGTAAGCTAATACATGTTGACAATCAAGAGACGAAGAAGTGGAAGACAATTGTACTGATATTTTTTTTGAATTTAAAAAAATTTTAATAAAAAAACAAACAAAAATAAGCAACGGCTAGTTCTCCTTGCCGCTCATGTAATTTCCAGGCTTGTTATTGTGTTGTTGTACTGCTACTATTAAACTAAATAGGTTGGAGGATAAAGAGATGCTACCACATTCATCATCACTAAATAATACAAAATCACAAACTCCTATAGCAACAATTGATTTGGAAGATGAAGAAGATGAGTTAGATATTAATTTGGACGATTATGATGTCGATGAGATTTGTTCATCCTCGCAGGGTGTTGAAATTATTGGTGTTATTGATCATCAAAAGGAAAAGAAGAAGAAGGCTTCATCATCAGCCTCTTCTATTCTTCCGTCTACTTCTGCTGTAGTTAATAACACTCCCCCTGTTGTTATTCCTTCTTTTAATAATCATGAGAATACAAGAAAGAGATCCTTGCCTTCATCATCATCCGATAATAATAGTAATAATCATCAAGAACGATTGGAGAGCAGCACACCATCAAAGAAGATGAAGGAAACATCAGCAGCAACAACTACAGTGAGCAGTCCTGTACTGATGAATGGTTCTCCTTCGCTAGGGAGTTCTTCGAGGAGAGGTGTGGAAGCAAATTCGAGTCCAATCTTGTCCAGTTCTTCCCAAATGAAATCAGAAAATTCACAAGGAAGACAGAATGTTGTTATTCCGTCCTTCTCTACAGCTGATGATTCGGATCCGAATGGTGTAAATACAAATAGTAATCAATTGGTAGTTGATGATTTGGAACGTCCTTTCACAATCATGTGTTGTTCCAAACAAACACTGAAAGGGCTAAGTAGACCAACCATTAATAGAAGTGTCAACCTGAAACAAATCTTAAAAGGAGAGGAAATTAAGGAAATTTACAGTTCTTCCTATATATTTCTTCAAACAATTAAGAATGAGCTCTTTGAGTGCACTCCAATTTCATCGGAAGAATTGAACAATGATTTGAAAAACTTGAAAAAGATTACTCTTCCATTTACTCCGAAAATTATTGCAGAGGGAAGAGGTGTTACTAGGTACTACCTGTCGACAGAGGATGAAATTTGGGCTTCTTTCAGTGTTGGAAAATTTACCAAAGTGCCCAAGAAAGACCTACCAACTCCAAACATTATTCCAAAGAGAATATTTGTTGGATACGGCCATGTTGCCTTTCTAACTGAAAATAATCATATTTATTTGAAAACTAGTGTAACTAATGAATTTATGGTCTTGGAAAATATAGCCAAGAATGATCGAGTGGAAAACTTTCATCTAGGATTGGAACATTATGTAGTTCATATTACAACAGCAGAAGGAGCTACAAAATTGGTCTTGGGAGGTAATAACAATTTGGGACAGCTTGCATGTAAACAAACAATGACAACAGGGGCCAATGTTATTAACTGGACGTATGGCACGATTCAAAAAATCGACTGCACGACAAATACATGCATTCTCAATAGTATGGGAGAATTGTGGGTATGTGGCGATAATTCGTGTGGACAGCTAGGTTTGGGAGATTTTAACAATAGAGAAGCTTTTGAAAAGGTTCCTTCGAGAATTCCTTTTATTGATTTTTCGAGTGGTAAAAATTGTACATTTGCTATAACATGTCTTCATGAAGTTGTTTGTTGTGGAGAAAAGAAGAGATCAGTGTTTGAGGTTGTGGACACTAGTGGTAATTTTTATGTTAATCGTGTAGTATGCAAAGATAATAATCCAATGGTATACTACTCTCCTTCTAGTAGATATTCATCGATACCTCTGCACAAATACAGTCAGGACTTTAACGATAGATTGCAGTGTATAGCATTTGGCCCAATTCTTCCCTTTATTGCACCAGATTTTGTATCAATTCTAGAAAAATTAGTCAAAGATGATAAGGAATCCAATTTAAAACATGTGCAGAATTTGATAGATATTCTACTCTATTCCAAACCAATAATGACTCTGGATACTGTGGAGATTGTGGAAATCATCTATGTATTATCCTTTTTCAGAGATACATTTATTCAGCTCAAGAGTTGTCTTGTAAATATTCTAATTGACAAGCTTTCACCACTTAACATTAGTACAACTATAGAATGCCTGTACGAGAAAGTCCAAATAGCTGACGACGCATTGCTTCACTATGCTCTAAAGTATTGTTTTGATATTGTTAGATGCTATGGTGAAAATCATATTTGCTTTGCTGGAAGGCTGAACAAGTTCAAATTCTTCCTCTCTGCCGATCAATTATCAAAATTCAAGCTCAACATTCCAATATTGAATCCTGTGAGTGAGCCAAACGTTCGTATTGCTCTTCAAAAATTGCACTACAATGCTGTAAATACTGACATTAATATATTCTTAACCGAGGAAAAACATATGAGACTACACAAGACAGTTATTTGTTCACGTTGTTCATTACTTTCTGAATTGAAAGCCATGATACACGCTACAAATTTCAATTTGATCCACTGCATACAGCCAGAAATTGCAAAACTTAATGGTATTGATGGGAAAACTATAGATCCAAATACCTTGATGGAGATTTGCACAATTTTACTCAAATTTTGTTATGGGTTGTGGGAAGATCCTCCAGTTCATCTTTTACTTCCCTTGCTGAACTTGTCGCGGATATTTGGATTTCCAGAATTATCAAATCATATTATTAATTCTATTGAGGGTTATATCACAGTGGAGAGCTTTATATTGATGGCAAGCTGTTATTCTAGAGAGGAAAATCAAAATGACGAGTTTGTAACTTTATTTGGAAAACATTTGGTAGAGTTTGCCAGCAAATATGCCACAATCATTTTGCAAACCTACCCAGACGAAGCTTTTGAGCATGTATCACCCAAACTGTTGGTTAAGATTATGAGAAGATTGAATAAAGGAAACCAACAATGATTCGGCACCAATTCTTGAAATATGTACATTTATTGATCAAAAGAAAAGACAACATCGCCCAATTCCCCTCCAATAGCTCTGTTTTTCAAGCACTTGTACATCCAAAGATTAATAGCTTGTTTCTCAGCCAAAATAGTAATATTTGCAGCAGAGTTTGAAAAGAGTATGAAATTACTGGAACGGGTGGTATCGATTAATAACTGTTTCACATCTGGATTCTTTTCCTTTGGTTCTGGAACGGCATCATCGTCATATTCATCCACCACTTCGAGTGGAAGCACCAATTGACCATAAGCATTATAACCACAACCGTAAATAGTTCCCAAATTACTCACAAACAAACTATGACATGATCCAGCGAGAATACTTGTTATAAATTCATTCTTCTCAATAAAGTGAACATCAGAGTAGAATTCAGGATCTTTTGCAACTGCACATTCATAATATTCAATCTTATCTTGTTCTGCAGTGATGCCTTTCTTGATACTTTCTGGGTCAACTTTGTAAAATTTGGTAATTTCTTTTGGTGTATTCAAATCTTGAAAATCACCAGTTCCAAGTTGACCATATCCATTATAGCCAGTTGCATACATTCTTCCAGAATGTGTGAGGAACAGACAATGATAGAGACCAACAGAAAAGCTTTTCAATTCTATTGGATCAAATCCTAACTTGCTTGTCACATTGGTAAATCTCTTATAATTGGAACCTCCTCTGTCAATATAATCCTCTCCCAAGATGAAAACCTTATTTTTTGATGAGACAGCCACTACCTGTCTGCCACCAACTTGAAAATCCACAATTTTTTCATGTTTTGACAGCTTGGCAGAGAAATCATCCATTAAAGTAAATTCTCCAAGTCTACATTCTGTCATGTGCAAAGTTCCACTCAAATAAAGTCTTCCATCCGCATCTAAAATACAAGTAGCATTATTACCAGCTCTAACCATTCTAATTTTTGCTTTAAATTTGATATAATCCAATGATTGAGAACTGTGTGGACCTTCTGCAAGTTGACCATATGCATTCCAACCACATCCCATTAAATTTCCAAGATTAGTCAAAATGACAGTATGATTATTTCCACAACACACATCCACAGCAAACTCATTTGTATATTTGTAAAGTGGTTTTGCTTCTCCAATATCATTCGAATGATTGAGCTCAGTTTTCCATCCAACTTGACCATCCAAATTCTTTCCAAATGATAAAATCCTTCCCAAACTCGTCAATAATACAGTATGATGCCCACCACTTGCAATTTTCACAATATATTCACTTCCCTGCACATATTTTGAAATATTTGCATTGATATTTCCCTGAATTTCAAATTGATGTTCACCAAATGCCTGAAATAATGCTTTACATTGCAACACTTGTGAATGATCCAATAATAATTGATCATGATATGAGAGAACCGATACATAACCACCTTTTGCTTCTATTTTTTGACGACGTTTATGATGATCGGAACTTGATGAATATTCATCATCGTTATCATCATTGTTATCATTACTATCATTATTATTTGTGCCGTTAGAAAAATAGGAGAGTGGTGATGATAGTTTGTTGCCCATTTTTTTTTGATTGGTTAAATAATATTTATACTTTACAATAAAATTGTTGTAAAGTTGGAAATAGAGAAGAAGAATTCTTGGTACTTGAAGGAGGTATTGAGGTATTGAAATATTGTTTAATTACAGAGTTATTGTTGATTCAATTGTTTCGAATTAAATCTTTGAGTTCCGTGTTGTGATAATGCAGGCAATAATCTCGCATTGTTCTCATGATGTGATTTGATTCGGATGGAGTTGGGAATTCATCCTTTTCAGCTGATTGTAATTCTTTTAGAATACGAGAATGGTCTTCAGATATATTCTTTTTAAGGAATGCCTTAGAGGAGGAGAGGAATGAGGATGAAAGTGATCCAATATTCGAAAGCTTGAATTGGAATAGTCTCGTTCTATGATTGTCGATTCTAGTGAAAACTCTGGCACACCAAATGATAATGGATTCCTTCTTATTCGAGGAGGCCTGACACGACTTGTAGACAAAGCATATTTCATTCAATTCGTTTCCTCTACCTGGTGTATTTACAAGGGAGATTTTGGTAGAGAGGATTCCTTCCATTTTCTTCTTCTTACTTGAGGATCCAAGTTCAACAGAGGCATTGAAGGTAAAACTAGGGTATTTGTGTAGTGAGTTTGATTCATTGAGAGGAATGAATTCAGTGAATTCCACTTCTGAAAATTCTTCAGATAGAGCATAATCATGACCAAATGTTTTAGCCACTTGTTCAATCGAATAATCCAAAGTTGTAACCATCTTACTAGACTTGAGATCCTTGCTATCTATTCCAGTATGATATGGTCGCTTGGTATTGTACACTATCATTGAGTATGGGAATAGGTTAATTAATTGTTCATCATTGTTTTGCGATTTCAAATGTTTCTTCTTATATTCGTTGTGGCTTTGGGAGTGAACTACCTTCCAATCGGTGGCATGTCCTCTCGAAAGGTGCTTTACCAAATTCCAATCCTTGTCGATAATGTTCTTTGCTTGAAAATCTTGATCCCTTAAGAGGAGATGGTTCTTTTCAGTTTGGAAAGCTTTCTCTTCCTCTAGTTTCTTCTTATACATTTGAACAATGTGCATTGGAAGTGTATTTTCTTGAATTCCTTTGCCAAGAAATTCTTCTACAGCTTCTTTGAATGGTGCAATAGATTGAAAGATTGAATAAATGTCTTCCATTTCCAAATAAATCATATCAGAAATGTAACGTATTTCTAAAAGAAGTTCTGCAAAAATGGAATCTTGATTTTCTGATTCGTCTGGTGATTTGAAAATTCGGGAAAAAGTATTGTTTAGGAAGTTTTTCAATCTTTCGTTTTGCACACAGTCGAAATTCTTTGCCTCAGACATGTGTCTATAATAGGGCAATGAAGTTTGTTGTTCAACCATATGATTCATCATGTCAATGTCCATTTCTTCGAGAATTACATCCCCACTCGTTCTAACTAAATTGTATGTTAATTGCTCTAGCAATACTACAATATCTGTACAGTTTTGAATTGGCTTCTTGGCATGTACTCTACTGCAACCATAAAACAAGTCGAGAAACATGAGCTTGGTTCTTACAGAGACTTCTGCCAACTGTTTACCACTTATACCTTCTTTCAAGTGTGCATGCATGGTAAATTGTTTTCCTAAATGGTTTGGGTGATTATTTACAATGAAAAGAATGAATTTCTCTCTCAAATTTAGAATATTACTGTTAGATTCACTTGGTGAGTGCTGTTTTTGTTGAGATTCCATATAGAGATGTAAGGAACCTGATGAAGGACTATTTGGTATCGACAATACCAAGTCAGAATTGCAATCACTCAACACATCTTGTGAACTGCCTGGTGAATTCGGCATCAAAATGGCATTGATAGGAGAAGATGTTGCAGGACTTACAGCATCACCAGTTAATGATTTTGATAACTCTCGATCTATTTGGTGATAAACTGTAAATAAACTTTTGTCATTGGTATAAATATTTCCATTTTCGGAATTTGTTCCTAACAGTTGACCAGCATTTTGCATCACCACATTGAAAGCACTTGTATTAATGATTGAAAGCAGCGGTAACATGAAACACAAATCTTTGAAACTATTGGCCCGTTTCCTACCATCCTTCTGTGTCTCCACTTTGTAGCTCCATTCAAAATTATTATTCAAAACAGAATTTGCATAATACAATCCTCCAACTCCAACACTACCCTTCATATTCGGAGATCCAGGAACTACATTACTTGTCGTGGTCGTTGTTATCATTAAATTATTCGAATTATTCGAATCCTGATCGTATTGTCTGTAAAATTCATCACCATAACTCGAAGATCGTTTCGAGGAGGATAATAATCCCAAACCACGTGAAGAATTCATTACAGTTAATTTCGACATGGCAACTACTCCTCCATTATTATTATTACCACCTTGATTATGAAGAGAACCATGAGAAGCCGATTTACTACTCGATTTTCCTTCAGCTGCCGATAGAAACATCCTTCTTCTCTTCTTTTAAAAAGCCTTCTCGATGATAATGATGTTCTTTAACTCAATTAAATTAGAAGAAAGGCTTGAAAAAACTACAATTTGCGAGGGAAAATTTTGGAGGGAAAACAAAGATAGCAAAGTTGATGCTGCAGGTGTTTGTGTGTTTTTTTTGAATATTTTTTACTGTCGAGTTTTTTCAAGTTTTTGAAATTCTGCAGTGAAAGGATTTTTAATTTCTGAGAATGGAAAGGAGACACTTGAAAGGATAGTGCAAGGAGATGTGTGTTTTGGTGAAAATCTTACCATACGTTCAAATGAAGGATGACATAAAGTTGAATGGTGACAGATTCATGCTGTTTCAAATAAGATAGTTAGCCTAAGAATGGAGTGGTTTAGGATGTTCTGTTAAAACGATTTGATGTTGAACGGAATCCATTAAGATGATGATTCTCAAATCAATTCGAATTAGTAGTCCAATAAAATTTATTCGAAACTGAGAAACTGAATGTGGTGCCAAGTTCTAAAGGTAGCATTCGAACGGTCATTATTTTTCTTCAACTGTTTCAAAGATAACAGACTTCATCAATCTTTTCATCTATTTTCATAGTCCGCAGATTAGTTTAGTTGTTTACAGACGAAACTCAAACTGAAGATGATTCACCTTCACTGTTTGATGAGCGTAAGAGGAGAAAGCATCAGAAAGACAGGTTTCCAAAAGTTTAGTTCGCATATATTAAGGGAAAGGAGACGAAACATAGTGTGCTGGTTCAAAATAAGATGATTAGGATTTAGGATGTTGAGATGAAACACAGATGAATTACAGTAAGAAGTGAACACAAAAAAGATGTCATTCAAATTGGCGGGTAAAATTTTGCTGTGGCTGTGAAATGGAGAAAGTATTCCATATTAGAAACTTTGTTATGATATTCAAATACATTTTAATTGATGTAAAACTATTTTCAATAATAGCCAAGGGCACACTCGCTATGGAACAACTTAAAACCAGTCACCCTACCTGCCACTAATCAATGATTATCATCGTAGACATGACAGGTCCAATCAAACAGAAAAAAAAATCATGAAACCAAGATTTCAAAGTCTCACTTTACTAGTGGTCTCTTCACTACTGTTACTTATTTCTCTTCATCATTTCATAACCTGTCAGGTATCAAAAAACTTTGCAGATGTCATTGATGCTGCCACTAGTCAATACGTAGCAACCAAAGAATGGCAAGACGTCCTCGCCAAAAACAACATCTTTGTCAAAATCCCAACCTGCCAAAAACTTGATTTCCCTAAAACTTTTGATTTTAACAGAACTTTTATGAATCTCTGTTATGATTACGAAGCTTTTGAGCCATGGATAACAATCCACAAAGCTTCAGGTGTTTTCCTGTTGGATACCATCAAGAAACAATATAACATTCCAATATTGAATCCTGTTTACAAGACCTTTCCAACAGATAATGGATATTTTGCAACTATGAAGAAGGGAGTGGATAGTGGAGAGTGTGATGTGATTGTGGGAGCAACGAATTGGAATGCAGAAAGATTGGCACAGGCTCATTTTCAATGTAGGTTTCAAAAAGTTTCGGTTTGTTTCTAATATGATATTCATTTCCTTTTTTGGATGAATGTGAAATTCATGTTAATAATTCACTTTCACTACTACTTGATTGACCTAAATTTGTTATATTTTATCATAATTATCACAGGTGCTTATGGAACTAGTTATCAAGGTTGGCTCAGAAGTGAACTCCAAAACGAAACTCTAATTTTCAAAAATATTGAAGATTTGGATAACACTGGAGTTATTATTGTCGTTTCTGCTGATACTTCCTATGAGAATTTCGTGAAAAACACCTTTAAAAAGGCAACTATCAAGGTCATTGGTGGTTACGATGATGCATGGGCCATGGTTTCGAATAGAACTGTCCATGCCTATATTGCTGATGTTTTGGATTTGTTTATTTGGCTTGGAAATAATAGAAATATTTGTCAGGGATGTAGGGTTTCATTCTTTGGAGATTCAACTCAATTTGGAACTTTTATCACTATGAATATTACTGGAACTTCTGGAGGAAATGCTTCGTTTGAGTGGAATGTTCAGTTGACCTTTATTTCTATGATTATATTCATTGTTTCATTTGTATTGAATTTGGGGTAATTTTTACTTAGTTTGTGGAAGAAAATAAAACATTTCATGTTTTGAATAATTTTGATAATAGCTCAATATCAATTGTGGATAATGTATTAAATTTTATTTACAAGTTTGTGGAAGAAATTAAACATTTCATGTTGTGAATGATATCAAATAGTTCAATATCAAATAGACGAAATGGGCAGGAATCACTTTTACCAACCAGCTGGCTTACCACAAGTTGGACATTTCAATCCGACCTTTCCAGATGGAGAACTCTTGCATCCAGGACAAACCTTGTGTGAGCAACCATTCTTGCAGCTAATTGAAGACAATGTTGAAGCATTGAACGAACACCAATCACACTTTGCCATTGTTGATGATTATTTTGTTGGGGAATTAAATTTGTTTTTTTTGTTATGGAATTTAATGATGGTTAGATCATGCTTGGTTTTAAAGATGTGGAGCGACCATTTGTTTTGCAGCCATGAGGGTGTGAATCAGTGAATCGGTGAAATGACCACAACAAAAGAGAGGTTAGTTCATATCCATTTCATCAAATGGTTAAATCATATGGTTTGTGAAATTTGAAATTAAGCAAAGAATATCTTGACAGCAATCACATCTCCCTTCTCTGATTTTTTGAACAATGTTGGATAATAGCCATCTCCATAACCTGATGATGTAATGATACCATAAGGCATTTCCATTTTATCAGGAAATCCTTCTTCCTCCATTTTCTTTGTGAGATATTCTTGGTATGGAGGTTCATAGCATAACTTGAAATTAGCTTCGAGAAGACTTTTTTGTCTAACCTTACTGGCAGGTAAAACATTCTCATCATTAAAATACTTTTGGTCAAATAGACCAACAACTGCACAATCTGAGGAAACACCCAACCTCATTTGGAACCATCCTCCCTCCATCTCATAATTAAGGTATTCATTTCTGTTATACTCACCACCATACTCTTCAGTTCTATCTTTGGGTATTAGCCAAATATTTGATGTATTGAGTAGATGCAAATAATCAGTGTGTACAGCAACAAATTGAGCAGTAACATTAGGGTCGAAATATCCGCCATCACAATAACCCTGTTGCTTGTTTGTGGTATTCCATTGCCACAGACCTTCCCTTACATTTTCAAAATAAACGCCACCATCCGAAAGGAAGGGATCAGTAGCGAGCATTGTATTGGACTCCATTCGAAATTGCGTATTTTTAAACAATTGTTGATATTCAGCTTCTTCTTCTTCTTCAACTGCATTATCCTCCTCAGAACTATCAAATGGCTTACCTTGTACGATTCCAAGGAATGTGAGATTTGAAATGTCTGTTGTACTTCCTCCTAGTCCCCCATTTAAACATTTACCTAGCTCAATAACTGAGCTAGTTCTTTTGTGATATTGCATGTCTCTAATAAAGTATTCATGACTTAAATTATTTCCTCCCCATTTATGGAGGTAGACTAATGGAGCTCCAAGATAATCAGCCAAGTCTGTTGGAGTCAATTCCACATAGTCCTTTGAAATAAATTGTCCAAGTTTCTCCGCAAACTCCTTACAATTAATTCCTGCAACTATTTCAATATGGTCTATATGTTCTAATTTGATTTGATAGGCCTCATTGATTCTCTGGTTTGGTTTAACAAAGGTAACCTTTTCAATGGCTTTACTTTTACAACGTGGTGTGTAAACATTAAATGAGGCATCGTATTCTTTGAATTTTTCAAAATTCTCTTCATCAAAAACTTCTCTAATTCTATTAGAAGGCATTTTCATAATTTCCTCAAACGATAAATATTTGGTATACTCAATGCCCTTCCTATAGACAAGTGATTTTGATTTTGGAGCATACAGATATGAGGAGAGATTTCCATCAACATTTGTGATAAATCTCCAAATACCTTCCTTCTGAGATTGATTGGAGTTGTATAGTTCTGGTTCATAGATATGATATTGAATTTTCTGATTAATATCTTTAGATCTAACTAAAAGACCAATATTGTCCATCCTTGTAATAGAAAACACTGATTGGACAAATTCTAAATGTCTAATCATTTGTAGTGGACTTTTAAATTCCTCTCCAGACCAAACTAATTCAAATAATCTTTCTTTTTGGCAAACAAAAACTCTCATTCTACTCCCCTCCAAGTATGGAACAATGCATGATTCAATAAATGCCTCTTTAAAGTAAAATAAATTGTCTGGATGAATGAATTGAATTGGTGTAGTTGAAAACTTGTCACTCTTCAAATCAAATAAAAAAACATTTGAACTTGCATAAAAGGCAGTCAATGAATAATCTCGTTCCAAAACATTACTGCATGGAATGGTAATAACAGTGCAAAAATCAGTCGTGTTATATGTGACACTTGGCACCTCAGTACATTTCTCCATTGTGAAAATTTTGCTCTTTCCTCTCTCAATAAATGGAACTTCACTTGTGGAAATCATCAATAATTCACCATCACCAACAAATGCAGATCCCTTCTCATTAGCTTTTGGCACTGGAGAAAGTAACATTTCATCAAATGTTTCGACACCATTCCACATGAAATGACAATACTCTCCAGAACAACATCTATTCTTCATGGTTATATACCTAGCAGAAGCTCTGATAGGTCTCTTCGTTCCATCCAACAATTGATTCATCAAATCACTCTCCCAATCCCACACCAAATGTTCAACCGAATATCCAGTCTCCACATTATTGTCAATAATATTAAAGACCAATCGTTTAACAATATTATCGGCATCGGAAAGATCAATCATGAAGAATTTATCATCCTCCCTCCGCAGATCAATGCACTGATTAAAAAATTGATACGTTAAAGGCTCTGATTGCATTTTGGTATTTTTTTTCAGTATTTGGCGGGAATTAATTCCTGTTGAAGAAAGAAATATTTATTTTTTACAACAAGTCTTGAAATGGGAGAGAATATTCTTCAATGTTCTCTTGGGTGATTTCTTTCCATAGACAAATCTCAATCCAATATATGCCAATATCTTACAAAAAATAAAGTACAAGAAGAGAATGGCTGTATAAATCCACATCATGTAGTATGGTTCAGTAATTCCATATGCCTTTTCCAAGAAGAGAGTGCCATTGGTGTATTGACCTGATGGAATGATAATTGTTCCATTCTGATTTGGTGGAATGTCAATGATATCTCCTTTGAATTCATTGATTGCCAATGCTCTGAAAGCGTAATACAGGTACGAGAAGTATCCCATCCAAGTTATATAATCAGTCTTAGTAATACCATAAGCAGAAGAGAGGAGAATAAATACCAAACTGATTACAGGTGAAATAAAGTTCAAGAATGAAGGGACAGGAATTAGAGAGACGAGAGCTTGAGCAACACTCATTGAAGTCAAATTGAACAGAGCAAAAATCAGGATGAAACTGAAAACTCTTCCTGGATCATAGTCCAATCCACACATGAAATAAACTATAATTCCAAATACTGTTGGATAAACGGTAAAATCAATAGTATCCTCAATAGATTTTGCAATAAAAAATGCACTAACCCGATAGCTGGTCGAATTTCGTTCCTGCATTAGGTTGGGTATTTGTCCAACAAGTGTTTTCAATCCAAGACCAAAAGTGAGCGAAATATTCAAATTCAAGAAGGAGAATATTTTACCCTTCATACTCATATTAGTTGGATCGATTTGAAGGAAGAGAATTCCAATTACTACTGAAATAATAACCTTTTCCAATAATGGTGACAATATTTCAGTCTTCCAATTTCTAAACTTGACAGTGTAAATTCTTTGTAACAGAATCAGTATTGAAAACCAATAGTTCGAATAGTACTTTTCTGTTTGAATGGATTCTATGGTATTTTGTAAGTATGGCAATTCTTCCCTATGTTTTTGAGGGATGTAATATTCATCCAGCTTTTCTTCATACTCCTTATCGAGAGTGTCGACCCTCTTTAGCTCGGTTTCGGTCATGTGTCTGATTGCATACTTTTTATCATCCTCATTGTTCGAATTGTACATGTCACTCAGCAGCAATAGCTCCAAAACAGCTGCTATTGTGTTTTGTCTATCATGAGGAAATCTCACTCCAATTGTATTAAAATAGGTGACAATCTCTGTAGGTCTACCAAAATATAATTGTCTTCCCTTATTCAAAATTGATACGTAATCAAAAATTTCAATCTCTTGCACTGAAGGTTTGTGCAAACATACAACAATAGAAACTCCCAAATCAGCCAATTTTTTCATTCTTTTCAATAATAGGAATGATTCACCAAATTCCATAAACTCTGTAGGATATTCCAACAAGACAATTCTATGGAAGAGAACATTCTGCACGGCAATAGTAAGTCTTCTCTTTTCTCCAGAGGAGAGAGAAGAATAAAGACTATGTTCCTTACCTCTCAATCCATAACTCGATAATAGTAATGCCAGACGATCGTCTCTTGTTGTCCAAAGTGGATTTTGAGATTTGGATGGCAATTTCAGTCTCACAGCAAATTGTAAAATTTCCTTAACAGTTAGAGACATGTTAGAAGGTGTAAAATCTTTAGCCACAAAGGAAACTAGGGATTTGAATCGACCAGAGTCAATACGAATGAACTGTTTCTCACTATTCATTGCAAGTTGTCCATTAATATAAATATCTCCACTATAAATCCTAGCTCCTCGTCCAGATAAAATTCTCAGTAGTGTCGATTTTCCACTTCCTTTGTAATTAATTATTTTTGTGATGAATATTTGAAATTCATTGATATTGTTATAAATTGATAATTAATTTTCACAACCCAAAACATACCCATAGGTCCTAAAATTGCAGTCAATTTACCTGGAGCAACAAAGCCATTAATATTCTTCAAAATTGGCTTTGGAGATCCCATCGGAAAGGTGATACTCTTCCATTCCATAAAACATTGTTGATCAAAGAATTGAGCAGGATGGCTTGTTTTGTGTGGTTCCTCCACAGAATCGATGTCGGAATGATATCCAGCATTGAGAGGTACTGATGAAGCTACCCTCGAAAGATTGCTCTCAATACTCGGCATTGAATTCATCTTACTCATCATGAGCAAGGGATTTTCAAAATGATGATGTGTATCATCATCAATATGAAAATCTACATGATGATGATGACCATGATGAGTATCATTATCAACAATCCTATCCAATGAAATTGAATTTGATATATTTTCATCATCCTTGTTATTATTATTATTACTATTTTGCCTTTTGAGAGTGATGGACCTTCTCTCTCCTTCCACACTAGAATTATTATTCATATTCATATTATTATTATTGCTATTATTATTTACACTATTATTCATGTTATTACTATTATTATTCATAATTGTTTGTTGATATTGAATTCCTTCCAATGATTGTCTTCCTCCATAACAACTACCACTCGTACTCAAACTTCCAATAGTACTCTGCTCACTCAGACTATTACTACTGCTATTGCTCGTAGTCTTGGCAAACACACCACCCTCTAAAGAATTTCTACTATTTCCTTGCCCGGTAGCAGCAACACCACTCGTTTGTATTCTTTTTAATGATTGTTCTTGCTGTTGTTCAAGAAGAGTTTGAGAATGAGTGCGCGGGAAATATGAAGATGAAGCATTGGAAGGAGAGAATTGCAGTGGAGATGAAGAAGAAGATGCATTGATGGTATTGTTATTATTGGAAATGGTACTAGGGATGGTATTGTTGTTGGGGTTGATGTTGTTTGTGGTGATGAGGGAAAGATTGTTGTTAGGAGTGGAAGATGATGATGATGACATTATGCCATCACTAGTGGACATTTTTTGTGTTGGTCAATGTGCACGTCTCATTGTCATCTCCTCTTTGGATTATTGTTGTCCGAAATTATTAAATATTTTTACAATAACTATTTAAATATTGTAAAGTTCATAATATTTAAATCATCAAATTATCTTCTAGCAAAAAAAACAAAAATGTGGAAAAAGTTATAAATTAAATAGATTTTACAAAATTTTTATCTCAATATTTAGTTTTTGAGACAAGTCGAATTTAAATCCGTTGCAGCAGAATGATTTGTTTTACAAGAGGAAGGCAATCATTGTGGCAATGAATGACAAACCAATCATGAGCCAATTCATGGTCAATGCAGATCCACTCGAAATGATATATGCTGTTGTGAAACTTCCGAAAGGACTTGGAGCACCATATGTCTATATTATTATAATTCCACCAAATAATTACACAATTCAAATAATTCATTTTGATATGATATCATCATTAATTAATATATAAAAATGGTCAGAAACACAATTTGCTTCAAATATATTACAAACCTTAACACTACAAGATTTACAAACACCTGGATTATTAGAAAGCCAAGCATTAACATCCAACAAATTACCAATCATAGCATGGGCCTTACTATTGGCAACATATAAGAAAGCATCATCATAGGAAACAGCAAGAATGGTAGCAGCTTGGAAATTGGCACGAGCATATTCTTCGTGAGTGGTTCCCTGATAGACGGCAACGATAATTCCAGTACGATTCAAATCAGTGTGTCTGTTAATTGTGAGATTACTGGCCAATGGTCCACGGAGATAGGCATCAGAAACAGCTCCGTATTGACAACCTTGGAAGTGAACCTTTGTAGTTCTTTCAGTTGATGGAGTAACTGTTTTTGTGTGTACAATGTTTTGTAATAATTATAATGTTATAAACAATATATTGTAAAATTAATGTGAATATGAAATCAGTGTCAGTTAAATAATCAAATCATCATTTGAATAAATTAGAAAATCTATCTGTTGTTGAAAATTTCACAAACTTACCATCAGCAACGACAACGTCACATTTTCCACTATCAACAGCAGCCTTCAGTGATTCAAAGAAACCATCAGTAGTATTGATAGAAAAGAATTTGGCAGTCAGAGCGAGTCCATATTGCTTATTGATATTTTTAACAATACCATTACCGACATATCTGTTACAGGTTTCGAACACAATTATCCGAAACTATTCTACTTACTCATAAATGTAACCCCAAGGATAGGTAATATATTCAGCTTCTTGATAACACATATTCCAAACAGTCTTTCCAGAGGCAATTGGATTTGTGGATGGATAGGCATAGTCATCACCACAAACTGGAACTGGGGTATAGGTCAAATTGAGCATCATTGCTTGGAAATCAACATCGTTGACTAATGTTTTGATGGCAGCATCGACAGCAGATGTATACTTTTCAGTAACGTAAACTTGTGAGTGGACGAAACTAAACGAAAGTACAAGGAGAAGGACAGTTAAAAAGATTGATTTCATATTGTTGTTTTGTTTTTTTTGAAAGTGAATAATTGTTGTTAAATTGTGTTATGACATCTATTGATTTCTTGCTGTTTTGTGTTTCAAGTTTCGGATAACCTTTCGAAAAATGGCCCTTTCAGATTCATTTGTTGTGCTCTTTAATACCTCCTTTCCCAAACTTTGTCGAATCTGGTTACATTCTAAAGAAATGGTTTGCTAAATGAATGAAATTTGGTCAAAGCCTTGAAAACATTGTTTGTTACCCCTTCTTTGCTTGTTTGAGCATTTTTGACAAGTGGCGGTTGACAAGTTTGATGGTACTACGGCATCATCATAATGGATGCAGATGTGTTTTGTTGTGAAAGTTGGTTTTCGAAAAATGTGAATAAACTGACCTTTAGTGTTGGTCCAAGTTCTAATACTACTAAAAACTAAAGCTCAATAAATGGTTTTGGAAGTAGATTTCGTTCCCGGTTTTGTTTATTTGGTGGAAAAGGATGTTTTTATTGTTTAATTGATGCGGGAACATTTTGTGTGAACGAAAGATATCGAATAAATTGAAGTTTGACAGAAAAATAATGTCTGTGATGGTAGAAATTATCGGAAGGAAATAATGAAGAGGTGGTGCTTTAGTATTGGTTAGAATGTTGAAGAAAGTTTTAGCATGATTTGTTATTCGAAAGTTTATTAGAAAGGTTACAATTTCGTGCAAAAGATAGTTATTAATTTCCTCACCATCCTTGCAATCTTTGGTCAACCAAAAAAATGAAACGATCATGGGATGATATTCTATTAGAAACTGCCACACTTTCCAATAACTTTTACGATTCTCCTCGAGGACCTCAACCCGTTGCCTTGTTAGTTCCAAGTTTCGACACTAACCAAAACGACGAATTCACAACTTTCACATTCGATCAAATTCAACCCGAATCAATTTCCTCTAAAAATCTTGTAAATCCATACTTTTGTGATAGATACGAAAAGAGAAGAAAACAACGAGATATTTATTCATGGTCAGGAAATCGTCATGAAAATTCACTTGTTGAAAATAATGGACAAAATGTTTTGAGAGAATTTCAAAATCCGAATCGAAATTTAATCAAATTACTTCCATCTGAAATTCTACTCGATTTGATGTTTTATATGGACAAGTATGCATTGTTTAATTTCATTCAGACTTGTCGTGGAGTTTATGATTTGTTTGATCGAGTTTATGGAGAAAGTATTGAAAGATTAAGAATTGATATTCTCAATAAGAGAAGGGATATTAGGAATGTGAATCGATTGGTGGATTTATTCTCCAATACGGTACGAGAACCGTGTTGGAATGAGAGTTTAGTTTATCATCAGGATTCGAATGAGAATGTCATGATGACCTATGATCAATATTTTAGGATGAAGAGTACTGTCAAGTGGCCAGTGAGGTATTTTCATGACCATTTGAAATTTAGAACATTTAAGGTGGGAGATCCAATGATTGATGCGATCAATTCACAGGCCATTGAGGAGGCGAAAATTTTTTCGAATAAGGAATTTGAAGAGATTATTAAAATACAGGAAGAAGCCATTCCAGTATTTCCCTATGGAATATTTACTCAACCAGACACTTATTATCTCACTTTCGATGAATTGGTCAAGAGAAGATGCTCATTTATGAACTTTGATAAAAAACCATGGTATAATGTGGTTTCTGGGTTGCCAAAAGTAGATTGTGTAATCCTTCCAAATATGTTGGAATATTCATACGAATTTAACAACCGTGCTCGTGATTATCATTATTATATGGATAAAGAAACAAGTCCAAATGCCACAAAATGTGAAAGAATTGTGAGATTTTTCAAGAATCCATATGAAATGACATTTTCAGATTTTCAACATCGATTCAAGAATGAAATTTTGAAAGATTACGAATTGGCTAGAATTTTATTCTATGAATGTGCATTTGAACATAACAAAACTACCAAGACAAGAGAACGTTTTGTCATTTCAGGAGGATCTCTACTTCACACATTGACAGGTTGTGGTTTCAGTGATTTTGATTTATTTGTCATTAATAATGGAGAATCGGCAGAGGTTATCAGTCAAGCAATCAAACAAGTTTTATTGAAATTGGAAGAGAAAACCTCACATTTAAAGTACAATATGATGAGCTCCAAAGCTTCTATTAATATTTGCCAAGAAGGAAATGCAAATATTCAAATAGTATTACTGAACTATGAGACCATTGAGGAGTTACTTTTATTTTTTGATTTGGATTGTTGTAAACTTGTGTATGATGGCGAGAGAATATTGACAGTTTTGGAATGTTTGCGATCTCTCAAGTATAAGATTAATTTCATCAATAGAGAATCAGGAGGAACCAGTGAAGTCCACCACGAAAGAGCTTTGAAATATGGAAAAAGAGGTTTCTTAACCATTGTTGCTGATTCCTTTCATCCTCTCTTTCACGCAATGCATTGTGATTTTATTGTGGAAAGAATTCGAAAGTCACTCATTGATAAATATGCAAACCGAATTCAAACTGAAGGTATCATAATGGGAAATAATCCATTGGTTGAATTATTTGTGAAGGGTAATGAAGGATATATTCCAGACGCCTACAATTCGAAAGATATAGATGAATCCAATTTGCTTTATCCTGTCGTATTGAAGAGTGTTTCCTTTCAATTTGTGGAAAAATGTTTGACAAATGGCATTCTATTTACTGTCAAGGAACAATCACGCAGAAAATGTAACCAATCTCTTAACTTTGAACCAGAACAAGAAGCAGAAGCAGAAGCAGATATTCTCAAACGATTGAAACTTGACGAATATGAATTTATGAAAAGACCTTCAGATTTATTTCAAATTCTACCAGAAAATCAAAATCTTGTGAAATCTAAATATTCATATGGACATTTAGTTTGCAAATTTAGCATTGTACGCTGCCAATACTGTTCTACTTACTTTTATTCTCCATTCAATTCTTTACTATTAAGGAAACAAAGAATAATTAATGATTGTAATGGACATTTTATTATTCAATATTTGGAAAATAAGGAAATTACAAAAGATAATTTTAATCCAAGTACTAATACGCTCTGTCTATCATGTTTGAAACGATTGAATTGTTATGAAAAGTATCAAGATGCCTATCTGGATTACGAATATAGGAATTCGAATTTTGTGGAAAATTTAATCGAAACTAGAATAATTCAAACTATTTACAAAATTAAGAAGAAGGAAACAACTCAAAAAGGAATATCCAAGGAGAGACTATTTGATCTATTATCAGACGAATTTCCACTTTCGGATTTGGAAACTAATTTGAAAATTTTAAAAGTTAAACGACTTGTCATTGAACAAGAAGGAGATTCAACAACAGATTTAACACTTTATCCTCAATTACCTATCAAGACTTATAGTAACAAAACTGTTGTTCCATTCAAATTCTAATTAATAATTGAATAAAACTGAGAGAAACTATTCCTTTCGAATAGGAACTTAATTATTGTAAACATTTCGAATAGTGGAGATTCGAGAGATTGCCCTTTCTTTCACAAAGATGCAACACTGAATGAACTTATCCTAAACATTGAAAGTAACATCTCTTACCTAAAATAAATCTCATCAAAAACCAATCACACAAAACTCAAAAAAAAATTCACAACAGATCCATTCGAAACTCTACAAAATGTGGTATCAAGGACAACAACCATCATGGGCACCTTCTGGTTTCCAAATTGTAAGTACGCATTCTCATACTTTCGTCTAGTTTACTCTACTTTAGCCTCAACATGGTCAAGATCAACAACTCATCTCTCAAGCACAATCTACTTTCCAACAATACGACAAGGATCACTCCAATTCCATGAATAAGAAGGAATGGAAGAAAGCTGCTCAAGATATTGGTCTCGCCAAGGAAGAAATCAAGTAAGTACAGAAATAGTTTACTTTCGAATAATCAAAATTTCATTAGATTCTTATTTAAACTCGTTGATCATGCCAAGAGCAAGTCCATTTCCCTCTCCGACTTTATCAATGTCTATCTTTTCGTCACTGGAGGTGGCATGTCCTATCCAGGAACCAATTATTCTGGTCCACATGGATCCTACACTATCCACTCAGCCAAACATCGTTCCCTATTGGCCAATCTCAGATCTTGTCATTCCAAATACTTCTGTATCGAACCAAGTGGTCAAGTTGTCGCCAATCGTGATGCCAGTGGAGCTTGGGAAGCAATGACTTTGATTCACATTTCTGGAAATGATTATGCATTCAAATCAGCTCATGGAAAATTCATGTGTGCTGAACCAAGTGGTGAAATTATTGCCAATAGAGATGCTTTGGGTCCGTGGGAAACTTTCTCATTGGTTCAATCTGGAAATCAAGTGGCATTCAAATCAGCTCATGGTAAATTCTTGTGTGCTGAGCCATCTGGATTAGTTATTGCTAATAGAGATGCTTTGGGACCTTGGGAACAGTTCCAATTTTCATTGGCTCCAAATCAGAGCATTTCATTGAGACATCATCATGGTAAATTGTTGTGTGCTGAATCAAATCATTCAATGGTTGCCAATCGTGATGCAGTTGGTCCTTGGGAACAATTCACTGTTGAACATCATGGAGCTGGAAAGAATGCATTCAGATCTGCTCATGGTAAATTGATGTGTGCTGAACCAAGTGGTTTGTTGGTTGCTAATCGTGATGCTGTTGGACCTTGGGAACAATTTAGTGTTGAATTGCATGGAAATGGAGCTATTGCATTGAAATCTGAACATAATACCTATGTTTGTGTGGAACCAAGTGGAGATATTGTTGTCAATAGAAGTGCTGTTGGTGAATGGGAAAGATTATCTTTCAATTTGTAAAATATTCGAAACTCATAAACTATATCCATAAAATATTAATTTTTCAAATCATCTTTTAATTTTTATTCAAGTAATGTCTAAATAAATAAAATATTTGTTTACAAAAAACCAATTTTCCATTCTCGGTCGTTTTGAATTTTCCAAACTGAAATCAGGACCAAAAAAGGATTTCTCGCTAAAATACTAACCAAAAAAAATGGCAGAAAATCAAAAGGCTGGCCTCGGAAAGAAGATTTCCTCCCAACGCTATCAAATCTCTCAAACTTTTACCTATGGGAGTGCGGAGAAGAATTTGATCGTGAGAGAATTTGGAGAGTTTGATCTCAAGGTTTGTAATTTTTTGATCGAATTGATGAATTGATGATGATGATGACGATTGAGAATCTTGTAAATAGGGTGCTGTATTAATTGAAGGCTTTCCGAGTGGGGCAACTACAATTTCGACTGCTGCTGGATATGTGGTTGAACAATTGGATCTTCCGTAGGTTTTTAATTGATGATGATTAATATATGGATGATGATTTGATGATTTTATGGAATGATAGATTGATTGGAGATGTGATCAGTGAGGTATTTCCACCTGTTTGTTTGATTAATAGTATGTAGTTTACAATTTGGATTAATGACAAATTGAATGGTTTAATATTATCGTCAATGAATAGATTACACACCACAAAGTGGAGTCAGAATATATGGTAATAACAAGATTGTTGTATTCACAAGTGAATATGAATTGTAAGTATTTCTTGTAATGTGGAGAATAATTTTTGTAAATTATTATTAGAAAGGATCCATTCGTTTCTCATCAAATGGTGAATGCCTTGTTTGAATTTGGAAAGAGACATGGATGTAAATGTATTGTTAGTTTGGAAGCTATTCCAATGGATGAAAAGAAGAAGAGATTAATTGCAGGAGAAGATGTTGAAGGTATGGCAATTTAATTTCACACCAATTATTATTAACACACATGAAGATATTCAAACTCCAATTCATCCACCATCCCGTGAGGAATTATTGAAATTGTTAACAGCTGCTAGTAATGAAGATACTAGTGACCAAAGTGATAGCATTTACTTTATTACAAATGATCAAGAAATGGCTGATACTTTGGTGAAATATGGCCATTTCCCAATTAAGGATAATATTGTGCTAAGTGGAATTAGTTCTGTTGTTTTAGGAAAGGCTCCATTCACTGATTTGGTGGTTGTTGGATTATTTGCACCAATTTCATTAACTCAAGAAATTTTGTCAACCAAACCAATCATTTCTATTGTTCATGCAATCGATAAATTGTTGGGAGAGGAATTATTTATCAAGACTGATAAACTTGAAAAGACTGGAGAAGCTATCAGAATTAAGCTTAATGAAGTTTTAGAAAAGCAAAAAGAAACCAAAGATGCCTATAACCCAATGTTCTTGTAAATACAATCTAGTTATTAAATAATATGATAACTAGATATTCAATATTAGTTGGATGAAATTGAAAATTTCTACAAGTTGACTATGTACATTTGTTTATTGAGCGATCATTGAGGCCTCAATTACAGATTATCTTCTCCCTCCTTTATTTCTTCGTATTGAGATTTATCTTTCTTTTCGCCCTTTCTTTCTACGAAATAAAATCCCAACACTAATACCATTACCATAAAGAAACAGAATGCTAACACTGAAATCACGATGAAGTAAAATAGCACTTGTTGAGTAGTGCTTATTGTGGTAGTGTGGATTGGCTCATTGAAGGTAAATATTGTTTCTTCAGCATTCGAATAGCAAATGGTTGAATTGTTTGGTGTGAATTTCTTTAAATAATTGAAAGTGGTGATGGCATGAGTGTTACTGGGCATGATTTGCTGACATTGCTCAGAAATGAATGATGAATTGAACTGGTTTGGATTTGAAACAATTGTTGGACTCAATTTTGCATACGAAACTTTATATTCACAATATTCATAATTGGAATCATGTGAATTCATATAACAATAACTCGTTCCAACAGCAAAACAACAATTATGAACATATTGCACATCTATTTGCTCACTCAACCTCGTCGCGACCAAATACAACGATCCAACACCTAACAGAAAGCAAACTAAACACGAACTAATTACCACCAACAGTATGCCAATTTTCTTTGCCTTTAGTTTAACAATTTCCTTTCTATTTTCTCCATCTGTTTCATCAATTTCCCGCACAATAGTTGCCACTTCAGCACAGCATTGCACTGCTAATAACAAGGATTCCAAGCATTCAGCCATGATGATTGTGTTTTTTTTTCCTAATTTTTGAATTAAGGCGAATATATCTTCCAATTTGATTCAGAGTAGACCCATAATGGAGAGTTGTTGGAAGGAAACATGTATTATTGGTCCATCATTCAGATTCGATTGCCTAAACAAAACGAAACCAACCTATTCTTGATTACAACCTTTCCTGCACGGTTAATTATTTTTTATTTGGTAATTTACATTTTTATATTTTGATAATTTACAATTGATTGATAATTTACAATTACAATTTAAATAAATTGTGTCTCGATTGGTTATGGTAAGCAGTTTGAAGAGCAAGCAGTGATCTGGCAGAATCTGGTTGATTGTTATTCGATTGTTGTTGCACTTGCAAATTAGGAATTGTTGAAAATGCATGAGAAGGTAATCTATTCATGGAAGCCAACTCAAAAACTCGTTGTAAAGCACTGTTGATATTCCATTGATATTGTTGCAAGCAATCATAGGCAAATACATGAACCAAATTAGTTCTATTCATCAAATACAAGACTAATTCCATTCGCTGATGACACAACGTCACATCAAATTGTGCTTCTTCTAAAATTCTTCTCGCAAGAAACAAATTAGACAATTTGGTTCTTTCACACAGCTCTTGGCTCAATAAAACAGTTGCCTTATATGCCAACTCAAAGTTCCAACCAAAAAAGATCAAATAACGAAGACATTTCTCCTCAGATTCACCTGTATAATTACCCAATGCATTGATCATGGCAATTTGTTCATTAGAAATTTGCGGCTGATTATTCGAAAGAGTCGATCCAGGAGCTAACTGAATGACTGGATTCGTTCGTGAATTCGAAGGAGTTGAAATTGTTATTATTGGATTTGCAAAACGAAGCATTTTCTAAATAGTATTCAATATTTCTTAAATGGTATGTTACAATATATTTAAACCTTTGTATTATATTTGATAGGAATTATATGTGTCTATTTAGATCGAACAATAAATCCCAATATATGCAAGTTAGTATAATAGAGCTTCAATAATATTTATAATAGTACAATATATAATCTTCTTTCCTAACCGAATAATATATTTTCTCAAATTCTGTATTTATGAGAGCAAGTTAGGTTAATATTAAAAAAGATAGGTTGGTGGGTGGGTTGATTGAGTGGAGATAATTTTTTTGATTTTTTTATGAATTTGTCGGTTTGATCTCTTCGGCATCTTTTTTGGTAAAATTGATTGGGAACTTGACGGACTTGGTTTACAATTTTCATTAAATTGTTGATTGTAACGGTAATATTAAAAGACATTTTTGAACTTTCAATATACAACCATTGCTTTTGGGCTTTAAATATTAAGAGTAATTTGATTTGAAACAAATCTTAAAAAGTTCTGTTCAAGTTTAGATCATTCACGTTGTTTAAAAAAGTTCTTAAAAGAGCATGAACATACACAAGGCAGATTCTAGTATAAATAGGAGGATGGTAGCTGTTTCACAACCACTAAATTATAATTTTAATGATCTTGACAGCAAGAGCAAGATGAGCGATTAAGGTGACAGGAAACAATTGTTTCATTAAACATTTTTTTAATAAGTAACACTAATTGGAATAAACTCTTTTTTAACAGGAAGTAAACACTCTTTTTCAATAGGAGCAAAATCACCTCCAAATACTTATTTTTGATCCCTTTCAACAACATTGAAATTACCTCAAATATTGTAAACTTTATCCTCCAATCATTTTTCTTTCATTCGCGACTTTTAAAAAAATGCCTTTACATGACCGCCCTCCTGATCCAATAAATTGTCTGCAGCTGACTAACAGGATTCTTGTGTTAGAACAAGCAGTCGATTCATATCGGATTGAAAATATTCGTCTTCAAAAATACATGGAAACTATGCAAAAGATTTACGACAAAATAATGTTTAAATCCGAGTTTGTACAAGACAAAGATGTAAAGGTTAAAGTTGATAATATTAATCAAGAAGATACTTCTACCACTAACATTTCTACTGATTCATTTAAAAAACCTACTTCAGAAATCCAAAATATTAAGTCAACTCCCCAAAATAGAAATCAACAAATTCATTCCATTACTAGTAATATTAAACCAAAATATGAATGTAGTAAGAACCCTATTGAGCAAAATACCAAACTACAACTTACTCCATATTTGGATATGGTGAAGTATCACCCTATAAAAGCTCAACCAAGTATCAAACAAACTATAGCAAAACAAATCAAAATGAAACGCTCAATTTCATTCTATGGTAAAAAACCAGTCAAGCAAAATAAGAAATTCGATTTGACACATTCACTTAATATTATCTGCTATGAAAGAATTAATAACAAATTCATGGAACAAATTATGGACATCTTTGGGGAATTTGCCACCATTAAAATAAGACCCCAAACTAGTAATGTCATTAATCTTCATTGCAATAGTAATGACAATTATATTCTTTGCAAAGATATGCTTGATAGTGTACACAATGATTTAATATTGAAATTCTTCCCATCACCTGCTGTATTCGAGCATAGCTTGTACGCTCTAACTCACTCTACACACATATATTCACAACACATTGATATGATTAAATCACTAATCAAACACTCAGTTAATAACGATAATACTATACTTATCTCCCAAATGTATACAAACCAATCACATGGTAAATATATAATTAGAGTTTCATACGAAAACGAAGATGTGTGCGAAGTTATTAGAAAGAAGCTTAATTTAACTAATTACAAATCTGTTGAACAATTGCGTAATGAAACTCCTACTAATGTTTCAGAATGTTTATTTCCACCTACCTTTACAAACAAGGAAATCATCGATGGTGTTACTCGTGTATACGAACGCATTAAAAAAGATTTCAATACTAACCAATGCATGATAACTGAATCCAAAAACAAATCCAATACCACTACCTTTAAATTATGTAAAGTCGTCCATTCAAATATTGACGAAATGAATCTATTTATTGACAAGAAAATTGTTCTCAATACCAAACAAAACATTACTGATGGAACCAGTTACTGTTTCGTACCATCTATTAAACAATTAGATGAAATAATTGAAAGAAAACAAAAACAATATCCATTTCTAACTAACTCTAAATTACCGGAAGTAACTAATCCTATGATCAATCCTATACAATCTAACGATAATACCAGTTCAACCACTAATTCTGTAGTTACTCCTACTATTAATACAACAACCAATCTATTTGAAACTAGACTATCTAATATTGAAACTGAACTGCGTGATTTTAAGAAAGCATTAGCTGATACAATGGAACTTATTGACAAAATCTCCCATTATATAAATAATAGTACTAATAATTCTATTATGCAAGATGATGAAGAATCAAAAAGCTCATCATCTTGTACTCTTTCTAAATGAGTAATTATAGTAATTTACGACTAGCGTGTTACAATGTAAACGGCCTGTATAAACATGCTAGTAAGAAATCGGTTACACCAGAAGTGAAATCAATGTGTCTTCATCATAAAATACACATGATTTCGTTAACCGAAACTCATTTAAATACTCCTGATCTAGAATATAAAGTTAAAAATTCAGGAACAGGCTATATATTATTTAACTCCTTAATGAATACAACGAAAGGAAAAAAAGGGACGGCTGTTATGCACTTCCTTAACAACCCTCACAAGAGAAATATTACTAATATCAATCTAATTCCAGGTGTTCTTCAATGGACACGATTCGAAAGCAAAGGTATACCAATTAATATTTTCACTCCATATCTTAGTGGAAGAGTTGATGATAAAGAAAATGATGTTGAAGCCATGAACAGTATAACAAATGCAGTACTGACATGTAGAGATGAACATGTCATAATTAATGGAGATCTTAATATCAATACCATTAATCCTTCAAACGGTAGAGATAAAGAATGGTGCTGGCTATTTAATCTACTCCAACTAACAGAATATAAGACTAATAATAAGACTTACATTAGAAGACAACAGAATAGAATCACCACTTCAAGATTAGACCACATTTTCGTGTCTAAAGATATTAAGGTTATCAAAGAAGAACTCCTTCCACCGCTCACAAGTAATGATCACATCCCTTTTTACATTGATATTGAATTCAAATCACATTTAAATTGGAGATCATATATTGGTAAGAAGAAAAGAGAAGAAATGATCAAAGAGATAAATACGTCAAATGCCAATACATTTCAAGAATTAAATGCAGAAATACAAAACAACATTGCAAAATATGGAACCAAAGTTGACAGACTTGGTGGTAGCATTATTTCCTCCATATTTAAAGGTAAAATTCGTAAATTAGAAAATAAGATTATGGGTAAATTAGAAGACCCAAATGTTGGACTTGATGAAATATCAGAACTACAAACAATTCTTAAAGAGACTCACATCCAATCATGTAAAGAAATCAAAGAACAATTAACTGACAAATATAACAATAGTCACGCCTCCCACATGTATCAATTTGATAGAAAACTGCATTCTAAAGAAATTATCTGGAAAGAATTGCCATTTGGAGAACAAGAAATTTTAGATTATTTTTCCAAAAAGTTTACAACCTCCAATCAAACACCAACCTTTATGCCAAGTCCATCCACTATCACTTCAGGTCCTAGAGATATAGGTCGGATTTCATATAGAGATGTAAAAGAAACCATTAAAAGAATGAAATCGAATACACCAGGACAAGACGAAATTTCATTAGATATCATCAAGGGCTTAAAATTAGAGAAATTAGCTTTAATAGTTGAAGAGTTTAACAAATGTTTAACACAAGGAGATATCCCCCAAGAATGGAAACACGGTTGGGTTAAACTGATTCCAAAGCGAGAAGTTAAAACATTAGGAGATATTAGACCCATCACAATACTACCAATATTTTATAGAATCCTTTTTAATTTAATCGCCCACAAATTATGTGAATGGGCTAGCTCTCAGATTAATATGAGACAACAGGCCTTCATAAATAATAGAAATACAATGAACCATGGAATAGTACTTTCCTCCCTGGCCTTGAAAACTAGACGAAGAACATTTATATTAGTCAACCTTGACATTGAAGGTGCCTACGACGCAGTGGAGATGCCGGTTATTAGGATGGCCCTTAATCATTGTAAATTCCCAACACCACTAACTGATTTTATAATTAATGCATACAGCAATCACAGTTTACAATTAGAAATTGACAAACATCTATCAAATAACTTCACAAAAACACGAGGAATTCCTCAAGGTTGCCCATTAGCACCTCTTATTTACGATTGTATTACACAACTCATAATAGACAAAGCAATAGACCAATGGCAACTACCAATAGAACCATCTGAATTGAATGCAAACGAAATTGGTCTTTGTTGTTTCGCTGACGATATGAATATAGTATGCGACAGATTCACAAATTATAATGGAAGACTAGATAACATCGACGACTGGTTATCTCAATTGCTTTTCAAATTAAATGCAAAAAAGTCAATTGCCACTCTCCTTCCCACAAAAAGCAAAATCATACCAAAAATCAAACAAGTGCCAATTCCCATTCAGAAAAATCTTAGAGTTCTCGGACACTACCCTTGGGAAGATAAATTGGTCAAAGAAGATATTGAAAGCAAGATAGCTAAATTCAATGAATCACTGAAATATTTCCCAATACTCAAACTTCAACCCCATAATTTAAGACAAGTCCTTCATGCTAAAGTGATTAGTTTATTTACACATCTATCCAAACTTAATGTCATTCCTCCATCACTGGTATCAAGAATAGATATTTGCATTAGAAATGTACTCAGAACAAAGTTAAAACTAGACAGAACCACCAAAACAGCTTTTTTCCACCTACCATTAGAAGAAGGTGGACTCGGTGTTCCCTCAATTGAAGAATTTACAGACAGACTTAATTTAAGAACTCTCTCCTTAATAGCAAATTCCAATAACAAGTTAGTTCAGAAAGCTTTTAAATTTGGAATTAGTCATACCAATGATAATAGTAATAACATTTTCATTCAATGGATGTCAATACTTCAGAAATATAATTTAGATTTCAAAAAGAATCATACCAAATTCAGATTAAAGAAAGTGAATGAAACCAATAGATGCTTTATTATCCATACAGACGGATCCAAGCTTGCAGGTAAAACAGGTATGGGTATTAATATATATGAATCCGGTGGAAGGTTATCACCTTGTAAAAGCCTTTCACTCCGTATCAATAATGAATACTCTAACAATGTTGCAGAAATAGGAGCAATTATCACTGCAATGAAACTACTTCCAAATGGAACAACCGCTAGAATACACACAGATAGCAAAGTTGCAATAGATGTCCTATCCAGAAAATACAAAGGAAACTTTCTCCCTTTCAAAACTGAATTTTTCAATATCCAAAAAGAAAAGAATATTTCAGTTTATATAATCAAAGTTAAAGGACATGAAGATAAGGAAAATATAATAGTAGATCGCCTTGCGAAAGATGGAACTGAAAGAGATAAGATCTTTGATATCAAATCCTTACTAACCAACCAATATTTACTTATGAAAAACGATATTGTGATCTTTGATTGCAAAAGAATGACTGTAAATCGCCAACTTAAGGAGATGCACGAAGCAATTGATAGTAATCCCAACTTTATTCCAAACCAAAGCTGGTCATCAATTAATGTAGCCTACCTCAAGTCACGACTGTCACCTAAAACCAAATATCAAATTTGGCGAAACGCTTCAAATTCTCATATCAAATATACACAGAAGAAAGATGAATTGAATCCAACCTGCTCAGATTGTAATTGTCCCTCAAATTTAGAACATTACATACATGAATGCCCCAGACTAGACAATCAAAGAAGATATTGTCAAAATAGATTAACAGAAATACTTGATAGACCTGAGTGTTCACTCTCCCCTATCCAAGAAATTCCTTTCCAATACTCATATGTGCTATATTTCCATCACTCAGGCATAACCTTTTTTGAGAATGAATATATAGATAAGATCCCCAACCATAACGTCTTAAAGAAATGGCCAGAGATCCAAGCTGCTATTTCCAAATTTATTGGAAGAGCCTTCCTTATTTATCAAATTGATTCAAAACCTATTTACAAACGAAGTGAGAAATAGAATCTGAATAGATTCGCCAAAATGCATTAAAAGATTTTTCTTTCATTCGCATCTTTGATTTCTGATAGATACCCACCTCTAACAAGCCTTTTAAAATCAACAAGAAACAACTCGACGCACCTCAATACATTTTGTCTAGGCAAACACTTCACCTCACATCAAACTTTCCCGCCAAAATTGTTATTGCCTTAAAGGGCAACCTTCTCAATTCTCCATCACATTTTCTACTTGCCACTTAAACTTGTTTGCACAAGCACATCATCGAGCGTTTTTCATGCTAACTGCAACTGTTTGTGTGTTTGTTATAAATAATGAGTGGTAAGGAACTGTCAGCTGTTAATCAAATTAATCGACACAAAAAAAACAACACAAAGAATGTCAAATCGCAACAGCCCTGCTTTAGGAATGAATAGTCCATCACTTGGTCAGCAACAAACAGATTCGAATCCAATCAAAGATTTGATATATTGTCCAATTACGAGAAGAATAATGTGTGATCCAGTTGTCACTGCTCTTGGTGATACTTTTGAAAGAGAGGCTATTGAAGAATGGTTAGTTAGACGTCAGACTAATCCAACAACTGGTGAACAATTGCCGAATTCAAACCTTTCGTTTAATAAGACTGTCAAACAGATGATTGATGTTTTTTTGGAGACTAATCCTTCGTATGCTTTGAATTTGGATGAAAGATATGTTACCAAAAAGATGACAGAGAGGCTGAGAGATTATTTTGATGAGAATGATTGTAGTGGACTTTCGTATTACCTTTCGAATAATCAGTACTTGCAAATTTATACAGAATATTCATGTTTTCCAATAATGATCAAAGGCTTGTCAAGTTATCTTGATGATGGTAATATTGTTCACTTGCTTTGTGAAACTCCAAATGCAGAATCTAAAATCCTCAAATCATTAATCGAATCTTTACAAAAATTAGAAACTCTCAAATCAGAAGAAATGCCATCAGTCAAAGATCTTGTCAAGAAATCCCTTTTTGGAACCAATTCAAGAGGTTTACAACCAATTCACACAGCCTGTTTCTTCAATGAAAGTGAAGAATTATTTAGAGAACTTATTCGATTACAAGACGAATACGAAACTCAATACGAATCTAGTGTCATTTCTCTCCAACATGAAAATCTCGATCCAAGATGTAAGAAGAACATGTACTTGTTAATGTTCAAATTAATCATTACAAGTACACCTCATAATTCCCTTTCGTCCAAATCATTCGAAACTGTCCAAAAGGAGCAAGAATTAAACGACAAGTGCATGGATTTCATCTTTGACAAGATGGGTCTCACTGGTGATCAACTTGCCAGAATCACCCACCAAGGAGTTTCTCTCATTAACTATGCCTGTAAATATAACAGATTACATCTCGTCAAGAAAATGCTGGAAAAGTCAAATATTGATGTTAATCTTCATGTGGATAATTATTATCATACTCCATTGACAAGTGCAGTTCTCGGTGGTGCATTCAATGTTGTCAAATATCTAATTGATGAAGTCAAAGTTGATGTTGAAGCAAGAGAATCAGAAACTCAATCACGTAGAGATTTTCCAAGTGCTTTACATTTGGCTATATTGAGAGGTCACTTTGATATTGCTCACTTCTTGATTTCTCGAGGAGCTAACATGAATGCCACTTGTAAAATGTCATCTTCCAATGGTAGCTCAATTGAGGCATCTGATCCAATGGTTAATAAGGCTTTATTTGGAAATAGACATGGATTAGATTCAAGTTTTGGTGTTTCAAGTCCATCAACATCGTGTGCAGCAAAGGAAGATCGGGAAGAAGTTCACAATTTACTGACCTTGTGCATGTTATTGTGTACTGACAAGCAAGAAACTAGCCGAAAGACATTAGACTTTTTGGGATCACTCATTTCCAACTATGATTTCAAACCAACCTTCCCATCCACCAACACAACCATCACCATGAACGAACCAATTTGGTTTGCCATCAGAACTATTGGAAACAAACAAGGTTGTGATCAAATATTCGAATGGATTTTGAATCATTTCTATTCTGATAGACAAAAACTTGCCAATTTGAGAGATAAGAACAAGAATAACATGTTGCATTGGATTTCTGGTTATGGAAGAGTTGAAATGTTGGAAATAGCCATTTCGTACATGTCAGAAGATTCGTCTATGGATGTTCATGTCATGATGAATCAAAAGAATTTGAGTAGTGATACGCCACTTCATGTAGCTTCACAACTTGGAAGAAAGGATATTTGTACGAAACTAATTGATTTGGGAGCTGACATTCGTGTAAGAAATATGAAACTTCAAGATCCATTATCTGCAACTTTTGTTGGATCTGCAAATTCGACACTGACAGCACAGTTTAGAATTGCATTCCTTAAAGATTTGAGAAAGGCAGTTGAAAATAGAGAAAGTGGAAAAACTATTCTAAACATGCAAGCTAAAATTCGAATGTTAGAAAGAAAACTAAGTGAAACTAAACTTGTCGAATCTCCATTATTGGGTTCTTTCAAATCTGCCAACGTAGATCCTTAAATAAAACAAATCATTTAAAAAATTCAATCTATCTTCCCTAAAGTTTACAAAAATTCAATAAATGAACTTTTTTGTAAAATTATTATGAAATTTGAACTTGTTGTATTTTTAGTTTTTTTACAATTTTAAAAAAAAAATGCAAAAATCAAACTTTTACGAAGAACCAATCGGAGAATCGGTCGTGATCAAGCTAGATCATCACATCGGATCACGTTCACTCACTAATTTCTATCGGAATGATGCCAAATTTCAAAGTCCATTGATTTCCTTCACTCAATATTATCAATTATTTAGAGGAGAATTGAAGACTCATCGAAGTCCAAAATTAATATTTAGAGCGAGTAGGGATGGATTTTCAGAGGTGGAATTTCGTAAACGTTGCGAAGATCAGGGGAAAATTGTAATTATTGTTAAATCTAAAGGAGGAGATTTATTTGGAGGATATACGAAAGAAACTTTGAAACTTGATCAAAGAGGAAGTAATGTAAAGGATGAGGAATCATTTACGTTTAGATTTGACGATAACACATTGTATATTTTCAGATTAATGCATGACCACAATATTCATGCATTGTACAGATATAGCTCATTGTATTTGTTTGCATTTGGTTATTGCTTTTGGGTGTGTGGTGATGCAAATACATCTACCTATTCTAGTTCACACAATGCCACCCAGGATTACATTTTACCAGAGTGCAAATTACCACAGAGAGAGATTAATCAAGTATTTGATGATGAATTCCCTAATAATATTGTCCCTGATGAAAAGAGACAATATTTTGGAGGATTCAATTTCCTAGTTGAAGATTTCGAAGTTTACAAAGTGGTGGAATGAATTGTAAACAAAATTGATGGTGCGCAATAAATTGGTCAGAATGCCGAATCCTTTCTTTTTTCACACTAATTAATTCATTGTAAGTTACTTCCAGGAGATTGTTTCGGAGCCCATACGGAGTAAAAAACAGGTCTAAAAAAACAGTCCATAGATTTCGAATGGACTAATTCTCTCATCAAAAAAAATGAAGTCAATTCAACCGAGAACATTAGTTGCATTCGCATTTCTATTATTGTGCGCATGTATGTGTGCATGTGCTCGTATCAGAGAACTAGAAGGTGATTTCTTCTACTCTATCTCATTCAGTTCATCCACTTGTCAACCAGAAACTATTCAATCAATTGGTTTAAATAAGATTATCTCACCATTGAATCCATCACAACCACTAAATGGATCATGTTTCGAAAGAACTGGCTATGAATATGGTTATGCCAAATATGAATGCAGTTCTAAAACAGCCACCATTAAGAATTTATGTAAGAAAGGTTGCAAGGATTGTGTCGACAATAGTAGCTACGAATTGTATCAATGTAATTCACTCAATGAAATGTATGGATGTGGTAAATTGCCTGATTTTGTGGTCAATTCAGAAAAGTATGGAATTAAATTGTTGTGGACATTGAATTATCAACTCCACTTGAATGCAAAGGATAATCAATGTGGAAGAACAGGTAATGACATGTTAGTTGGTGCTTCTGCTTATAGAACTGACTCTTGCTTTGACATGTATGAATATACACAAATGTATAGATGCAACTCAACTGATTTCTCCTCTATTAAGTATGCTCCTCGTAATATAAGTCCACAATGCACTAATTTTGATAGTCAACAAATTGGTAAGATTGGTGCTTGTTCTCAAAATGATAATTCTCTTTCACTTTGCAATTAAACATCTTCCTATTTCAATTGAACTTGTGGATTTGCTAAAATTCTTTTCCTTATCTTGTACCGTCTTTTAATTGGTTGTCTTGTATTAAAGAACAAGAATTCAATGATGAATTTAGATTTAATTATTCCTTTGAATAAGAATAATCGTGAAAGTTTATTCTTTATTTCTAATGGTGATAATAATTTGGCAGTCCCTGGTGCTACTGATTTGACTGCTTCTCCAATTCATGTTCCTACTTTCGTATATGATACTGCAGTTTCGACTAAAAGTGTTACTGCCATTGTTTATATGGTTCCAAATCAACCAATGAGTTATAATTCAGATCCTACTCATGCTACTCGTGTGGAAGATGCTATTATTGGTTATGGATGGAATCGTTTCTTACAAAACACTACCAAGGCCAATCTCTTGTATGTCACTCAACTGCCACAAGTCAAGGGAAATAAGATGGCAATGGATACTGTTGTTTCCTTTGTTAAGAAACAAACCAATCACGTCATTGAAAATTTTACAGTCAGTGGTGCTTCAAAGAGACACTAAAAAATTTCACAGTTGGATCTCAATTTCTAGCATTTCCTGAAAATCTTATTCATCAGGATCTATTAAGAATATCTTCTCCTCTATCGCTCCGCAATTTACTTAATAGGCTCTTTCATAGTTCCCATTCTTGAACTTTTCACAACAATAACAATATCTTCAGCTCAAAATCACAGCTCATTCCACATGGACACTCACTTTGTAGTTAGGGTGCTGCTTTGCATGGAGGTTCTTCTGGTGACGAGTCTGGTTTTTGAACTGCGGTTTCGTTTTGGGGCTATTTGATAGACCTCTGAGGCTAATTCCAATCCCTTCTTTACATACTGACTCTGATGATGGTGTGTGGGTGATAATTGTTTTCGTTGAAAGTACAAGGAAGGACTTGATAAATCCTTATGAGGAGAAGTATTTGGGCTTGATGGACTAGTATTAAGGTTCTTGGTTTTTGAAAAGACAGCTGATGATTTCTGCTCAATAAATATCCCAGGTGGAGGAGTCTTATTTAAATTATTCAAAGGACTCATCGACATGGTCAATACTCCTCCTGTTCTACTATGCAAAGGTGATGCATTATATTTACTTCTCATGGCTGCTGCAGCTGCATTATTAGAAGGTGATGAATGTCGGGTAGGAACAGGTGATGATTCCTCAGAGCTAGCAATGCTCATTCCATCACTACACTGTGAATCAGTATCGCAAACAGCATATCGATTATTCTGATGATATTGTGAGGGCAGTGATCCAAGCGTTGCCGTTGAGGGAAGTTTAAAATTAGATAGCATTTGAAGATTATTGTTTGAATCGATTCGCCGAGATCCCATCCGTGAGAGATTTTGTTTTGGTGGCATTTTTTTTTACTAAGGGAATCTAAGCGCAAGAGACCAATTTGAATGTGAACGCGCGCATATCGAAGTTATCAAGAAGATTCTGCTCCTTCTCGAAAATGCGATTTGATTTGATTTGATTTGGTCATTTACTTCTTATTAAGGCTTTTGGATTTAGAAATTACAAAATTTTTTTTTATATATAAATTACAAATTAAAAATAGTTCTTGTGAATTGACCAATGGAATGAGGCAATACGGAGAGGAATCTTTCGGAGGCATATCGAATTGGAAGATTAACATCAATCACTTCAATTCCCTTGTAAATTTCCTTAAGAATTTGATTGGAGATTTGAGATGGAATCCTATCCAAGAATTGAGGAAGAATTGGATTGGTGAGAGATCTCTTATCTTTACCATTTTGAGAGGTTGAAGAAGTTGATGCAGAGGTGGAGAATTGATATGTAGAGGAAACAGATTGATTGAATCTCCTATCTGTCATGTTGGTGATTGGATTAATCATTTGGAAAACTAATTGAGATTTGGTTGGTAGGTCAGTTTCGACGATTTGGTTTCTAATAGTTTGATTTCCAAAGAGAGTTTCGGTGGAGAGAGAACGGTTGACCAATGAGGAAATTTGTGTAAAGACAACTCTTGGCAATTGGAGAGCAAATTCATTGACGAAATGATTAGAAACTGTTGGATCTACTTCATTAACTAAACCAACAACGACATGTTTTGGTGAGTTGATCACTCCTCTTTCGTTGGCTTGCTTAATTGCTGGCAAGATGGTGTTCAAAGTTGGTTGAATAATGTTGGCGAATTGTTGACGAATGGTTTCTTCTCCAATAATTGTCAAATTGGTGAAAGAATTGTCAATTTCTCTATCTTGATCAGTTGATGAGGATGATGAAGATGTAGAGTTAGTACGACGAGGAGAAACTTTCTTATCTTCACCTTGCTTGAAAGAAGTTCCCTTAATGTCACGTCTTCTGACAGGTTGTCTTGATTTTCCTTCTTCTGCAGTGGTTACAAATCCACAAGGTTGACAAGCAATTACCAAATCATAATCATACTCAGTAACAATCTTTCTAATCTTGTCTTCATCTGAAGCATCTCCAACCTTAATACGAATCTCAATATTCTTTACGAAAGATTCTCCCAACTCTTTAATCAAACTTTCTCTCATCTCGCTCAAATAATCATCAGAACGTCCAACCAAGGTAATCATTCGATGTTCCTGATCGGCTCCAATGTTTTGTTCCAAGATTTTCATCCAACTGTAACACAAACTCTTAGCCAAAGAGTATGCCATGGCAATGGTGTTGTCAGTGTTGGAGTTGGATAGATTGCTACCCATTTCTTCATTGGATGCAATACCAGTAATGATACATGATTTGATTTGAATGCCAGATGCCAATTGTTGAGGAGCTGGAACTGTCATTCTGAATAGCATGACCCAAATCCATCTAATGAATTGGAGATACAATCCAACAAATGTAACAACTGGATAGAAGATAGTTACAATGAGTGCCTCTGTAAATTCCTTGACAAGAACCATCAAGTCAATTGGAAGAACGTTTGAGCGTCCCATTAGAGAAATGAAGTTTTTTGCATAGATGGGCAAGTTGTTAATCAATTGAAAAAACATTTTTTTTTGATAATGATGTTGTTGGTTCTTCCCACATGTGATTGTTTAAATATCAAAGAAGCGTTTGAATTGTCAAGTGTTTTTCCTATTTTAGAATGTACAAGTTTCGTCTAACTTTCTTAAAGTAGCTTTTTCAAATACTTCATTACATGTCTGGCTAATTATTATTTTCCCAATCAATCCAAGCGCTTAGTTCAAACAGTAAAATGATCTAATGAGAAATTCAAAGTCATCAATTTATTCACGTGAGGCAGAAGATTGATAGTTGGTAACTGTGAATACAAAGAATTCTCCTGCATACATGACATCTCTGAGAACGTAAATGGTATTTTCTGCTTGAATTTCCAATCCTTCATAATCCTTAAAAGACAATGAATAGTGTTGTTGATTTGCTACTCCATTGTTCAGTCCTCCCTCGTGTGAGCATTTGTGAATTTGTTGCATCAATTCGTGTTCATTCGAAACAAATTCAGAGGCAAACTTGTTGGAAAAGAGATCCTCTTGATTATAACCTAGCATGTTAACAAAGGCATGATTAACAGACATGAATTTACCCTTGGAATTGAGAATGAACATTGGTAGAGGTGTATGTCTGAAAATGGCTTGGAAAAGTTGCATGGACATACGTTGTTGAATTTCTTCCTGATTGGCAACTTGTTCATTGGATGATGACTCAGATGGATTTGAAGTAGGAGGTGGAGGGAAATTGAATGAAATAGATTCAATCTCTGTTGGTTGATCTTGAGTGGATACCTTCTTCTTTTTAGATCTAGGACTGGTGAGAGGATATGGATGATATTGATGGTTTGAACGTTTTGGAGATGGACATACATTGGTTGAGGAAATTAAACTTTCAACATGTTGAGAATCAACTCTTCGTTGGGTAGAATGAACTTGGTGATGAATTTGTTTTCCTGACGATGATGTTAAATTAGAATGATGATTATTGATATAGTGTTGTTGATGTGAACGATGTGTAATGAATCCTTCTGGTCTATATGTAGTACCATGACTCACTGGTGGTGTATTGTTGAGTGAAATTGGATTTGGTTGAACTGATTTGTGACTTCCTGAACCAAACAGTGTTTGAATTCCTTGGTCACTTTCCCTATTAGAGACAGAATTTGGACAACTCTTAGAATGATCTTGTTGATGATCACCAGTACTAGGAGAAATAGAGAGCAAGTTGAGTGGTGGTAAATTCAAAGTAGAAATTGGTGGAAGAACCTTGTTAGGAGCTGTTGGGGAAGAATCATCAATCATGAGTGTGTCTCCATCCTCATCATCTTCGTCATCATTGTCTCCATCCTCTGGAGACAATTGTTCGGCAGTAATGAGCATGTGACTATGTCTGGAATGATGTTGAATCCTAGGTGATATGAGATCATTTGGATCGGCAGTATAGTGCACACCACAGTCACTAACAGTTCCACAAGAAGAACTAGGTGAATTGAGTGGAGAAATTCCCAGTCCACTACTTAGTGTTCCTCTTCCACTACTGATGGTGGAGCTTGCAAATCGTGCACTCATCCAAGCTTCAGAACGATCTGAATGAGATCCCTTACTGCTTCCTCCACTCGATGAGGAATCAATCATAAAGTTAGAGGCAAAATCTTGTGGAGGAATACGAAGATTTGGAACTCTATACTTTTGCATTTTCTGTTGTCGTTGACGTTGTCTGATTTGATTTTCCCAATTAGAAATCATCATATCCACAGTTGGATCCAATTGATAGGAAGGTATAAAGGTAGATGGTAAATATTCTTGTGAATTATTGTTGGCAGCAGCATTTGTTGCTGTGGAAGATGGAGTTACAGAGTTAGGATTGTACAATTGATTCTTAATATGATTGACAGAAATATTCAGGGAAGGAATGGAACTTGATTGAAGCATCATTCTTTGTTGAATATAAGCTTGTTGCTGTTGTTGTACCATCTTTAAATAGTTCAATACTTGTGCAGATGAGTTGATAGCATGCAAATCAGAGGAACGAATCTGTTGTTGCAAACGTTTCAATCTGTGAACAGCTGCTGTAGAAACAGTCTTGACTCCATTAATATAATTGGAACGTGGAGAAGTTGGAGCTCTACTTGCTGATGATGCTGAAGCCGTAGGATTACCAGATTGAGCAGAGAGAAATGATGAAATTGACAATGGCTTCTTTCCTTCATGCTCTTCCTTCTTTACCATGCTACTACTCGTCGTTCTTGGTGTAAATACCTTTGGAGTTGGAGTTGAATCAATCAACATTTCCTCTCCACTACCCTTTCCATTATTATTTATACTATTTGCTATTGTTGGTCTCCTACTCTCTCCAATAATTACCACACTACTTTCAATATTATTCGAGGCAGCACTCGTAGAAATAATTCCATGATGTTGTTGTTGTTGATGTAGCCCTAATTGAATTCGTTGTTTCTCTCCACCACTAAAATTGTTACTACTACTATTAATGTTGTGATGATGGTGATGAATCACATCTGAGTGCGAGGAGGAAGATGACGATGACAATTTTTCTTGCTCGCTTCCCAAACTTTTTCGATTTCTATATTGCACACTGCCGCCAAATTTTGTTGTAATTTCTGTAAAAGTTTGAGCGGGGAAAATGCCTTGAGGAGGTGTCGTTACGGATTGTTGATTATTGTTGCTGCTGTTTTGATTGAGAGCGTATTGTTGTTGTTGTTGATAGTAGTGTTGGTAGGTGAGGGGAGAAGGAGGGAATGGTAGAGGATATTGATTTGGATTAACATGCGCAGTCGGAGGAGGTCGAGGTGATATGGAAGGTTGTTGCTTTGGAAGAATTGGTACATGATGATGATGTTGTTGTTGGTGCGGATGAGGATGAGAATTAATTTGTTTTGTTTGTTGCATTAAAGTCTTTGGTAGAATATTCAGTGGTGTATTTGTTGCAACCGAATGAATTCCATTAGAATATTATTATTATTACTTAATAATTGAGGAGGTTTGGGAGCCAACGGAGGTTGATGATGAATATTAGTTGATGATGTATAATTATTATTATTATTATTCTGTTGTTGTTGTTGAAGAGATGACAAGAAACCTCCATTACTATTATTCAAATTATTATTAATATTAATATTATTAGAGGAAGGATGTTGAATATTAGGTCCAGCAGCAGCTGATATCAAATTATTATTATTCGAAGGAGAAGCAGAAACCTTTTGTTGGAGAACATCTTGAACGGTTTTTCTTCTTCTTCTCTGGTTGACTCTTGCTTTTGATTGTCTGTTGGTTGGTAAATCATCCCTCATATAGAAGGGAATGAAAGAGTTATTGTTATTATTGGATGAATCACAAGATTCGGATAAATCCTGTCTTGTGTGATGTGGCATGGGAAGTTATTAGATGGTATGCAAACATGCCAATCTTGGAAGTGGTTTGTGGAGAATGTTAGTTGGCTTTGTTTTTTTGTGATTTGTTTGAATATTCTTCTGTCAACAATTATTTCTTGAAATAGATTCTTGACGCGTGACAGCGATAGTTACCATGTTCGATCAATTGAAGTCAAGCAAAATGAATATTGTTCACCACTCAACAACATTAAGGGACATCTTTGTTACTGAGTTCTCAATAAGAAATTACAACAAACGAAAAACTATCTTTTCATTTTCAGAAAATACGTCCATTACTACGAAATGGTTTCAATTTATTATTAGAAACTGGCAATTTGAACTGGAAGATTAAAAAAAAATGCCTGCCAAAAAAAGCGCATTTCTATCTAGAAGGAAAGTGAGGCACAGATTACCACAATTTGAATTTAGAAAACAATACTTTCTCATCCAGTCACCATATCTTTGCTATGAAAAATCAAAGTATATGGAATTTGCAACTGTCACTAATCAAGGGAGCTATCCTCCTTTAGTGACACCAATTACAGAATCAAAGCACACTATTCACTTGCAGGAAAAATTGAAAAAAACTGTCAACCATACACCAACGTTTGAAAAAGTGCTCAATCGAACATTGGAAGTTTCGGCTCCTGACATTATGCCATCAATCAAAGAGGAAATGAATTATAATATTGTAAACTTGAAGATCAATAACATTCCGATACCACAACATGCAGACACAGAATTTAATGGATTCAGATTGACCAAAGATAAATTGGCAACTTTGACGAAACGATTTCACTCAACCATCACTTTGAATCATGAATTTAAGAGTTTGGATGGATACAAGATTAGAATATTCATGATAGCAAGCACAAGAATGAAAGCTTTGCAATTTAAAAAGACATCCTATGCCAACAAGTCTCAAATCAAGAAAATCAGAACTGTTATGACAGATGTCATTTCAAAGAAAATATCCCAAATGAAAATCCTTGAATTTGTTGAACGAATGGCTATCAAATGTGGAATGAGCAATGAAATTCGAACAAGATGTGAAAATATTTATCCGCTAGAGGAAGAAATTCACATTACAAAAATCAAAGTTCTGGAAAAACCTGTTTTTAGAAAATAGCAGGAATGTAAAATATTAACATTGTAAAGTATTGTAAATAAATATTTTGATGAAAATGTTCATTTCCTTTTTACTTAAATACTAAACCTGAGATAAATTTAGTATTCTGGATTCTCAAGGTGATTAAACAGAAATAACTTGTTGAAATTTTATAAAAAGGATTTTGATTGAAAGTCCTTGCAATCATTAAAATGATTTATTTATAACTATTCCAAAAACAATATAAATAGTTTGAAAAAGTTTGAATACGAAACAACACAAAAAAAATGTTATCAAGATCATCAACACCAATTGTCAGAAATATAATCAAAGCTTCTGAAAGTTCAGGTCCTATTCTCAACTTTGTTAAGAGATTAATCTTCTTTGGACAAAAAGGAAACTCGACGAAACCTATTTCACACAACATTTCATTCACCAATACTACTAGTGGATCATCTACATTCCGATCCTATCACAACTATTCCATGCCTGACTATCTAGTACAAGAAATATCCTCAGAAATGAGAAAACAAAACTATGCCTATGCAAATAAGAAACTTGGCGAATTTACTAAAAATTGGTTCGGATTCTACACTTTCCAAAACAATAATCAAGTTGCTCTCTATTTACATAGCTTACTATTGTTCGATTCAAAGCAAATTATTGATGATGTGTCACCTCTTGTAATGGCTTCTGAAAATGGATTAAAGCAAGCTCAATTACTTCTGGCCACTATTTCCTATTTGGGATTTGTTTCGACAGTCAGAGTTGGAAAATACGAAACCTTACTTGCAAAATATGATGCATCCAGAGATTGGACGAATCAGAAACTTGTTGAATCGACTGTTGAAACCTATTTGATTGAATTGGTTGAAATATTTGATTCCAATTTTGCTCACTATGCATTGGGAAAGTTTTACCTTAAAACTAAACAATACGAAAGGGCAATGGATCATTTTAATGTTGCTGCTTCAAGAAACTACAAGAAGGCAATCTTGGAACAAGCACTCCTCTTGAGAAGTGGTTCTCCTGACGGTGTCATTTCTAAAAATCCATTCAAATCCTTAGAATTGTTTAAACAAGTAAGATTCAATTCGATAGCTCACAAAAACTTGATAGAAATGTTTAGAAATGGAGAAGGACTAGCAAAGGCAAGTTATATCAGGGTGGTGTTTCAAATATTCAGGTATCTCATGGTCAGAATTGCAAAGAGAACAGTAGGTGGCTTTGCCTATGTCTTTTTGGAAATTACCTGGTACATGTTGGCTTTTTCAATGGCCTCACTAGTTTTAGGACTTGTCTTGGAATGGTATTTGAACAGGTAGTTGCATGTAAATAGTAAATAAAAGAAAATTGTGATTAAAGAGTGGGAGACAATTTTTGAATTATGATCAAGTAGATGAGATTATTTCCAAAGTCATTGGAAGACAAAATACTTGATTTACAACTAGAAAGAAACCAAGAAAATAAACATCATTTTGAATAATGTTCAATCTCCACAATTAACAGAGCCAAGGATCCACAAAAAATTGCCTTTATCTTGCAACTAAAATTTGCCGACACCAGGGATCGAACCAGGGACCTTAAGATCTTCAGTCTTACGCTCTCCCAACTGAGCTATGTCGGCTTCTTATCAATAAATAAAGATTACCGTAATTGATTTTAAACAGATTTGTAAGGGAGATTGTATTTTTCACCTTGTTTTCAATCTTGCCAAGCAAGGCAAATGGTCTGAAGCATTCTCTTTAAATTCCACCAATATCTTCTTTTCCACCACTTCAAACTCCTCCTTCTTATAAAGAATGTGATCAAACGATGCCCACATTGAAATATTCCATCTTAATGGCCAATACCAACTCGTTTCATTATCCAATGCATCAACAAACTATTCAAATGAAAAAGACAATTCAAATTCTAAATAACATACCTTCTTTTCCATCAGGAAATCTGCATAGGATGGAGAGAGCCAACTTCCAGATTCAAAAGATTCATTAAAATCTCCAACAATTAACAAGGGAAGTGAACTCAATCTGAGAGCTTGTTCCAAATAGCTCTGCATCTCCTTCAAACGTATTGAGCTAGTTGTCCACAGAGCTGACAGTTCAATATTCGCCCTCTGGTTATCATCAAATCCAAGAGGTGGTCTCAAGTGAACACTCAACACTTGAAAAGAGTGGCCATTCCTCCTATCCTTCACAAGAACATGCAGGGCAGGAAAGACAGAACCCTCTACACCACTCTCCAGAACACTTACCTTAATATCCAAATAACTCCTAGCCAACACAGCAGCTCCACTCGGTTTGCACTGCTCCACATTGGAATGATCCCAATATTGATGAGGAAAATGAGTGGAAATTATCAGAGATGTATTTAGAGCCTTTTCCCATCCTTTATGAGTTTCCTGCAGGCAAATCAAGTCGCAACCAGCTTGATGATTATGATGAGGATGTGGATGCATAGCCTCTTCGATGGCTTGCTCAACTCTCTTACCTCCTCTTCTCTTCGAGTAGGTTCCTGTTTGACGTCCACATCCAGCAAAATTTACATTATATGAGAGGATTGAAATACTTTCTTCATGTTGTTCTTGTTCTTGTTGTTCAACTGTTGCTGATGAAGCATGTAGAAATTTGCTACAAATTTTTTTACTGGCTTTTCATTTTATATATAACGGCCAGAAATTTAAAGATGAAAAGAAAAATTGCAAAAGATAAATTTCAAGCTTGATACCAATGTATAAATAGATAAAAACAAAAAAACGTTCATTCTTCAATTGATTATCAATAATAATAGATGATGATCCGATATTCAATTCTTCATTCAAACAATTTATTAAAAAATGCTTCCATCATCCTCATCATTAATTACTAATAATAGTAGATTAAATTTAATGTCTAATCATTTGGCAACTTCATCGACTTTTAATCGGTACGAGAGAGAACACAAAGTCTTGATGATCGCATCACTTCCATTCTATACTTCCTTCTATGAGAAGAATCCGTGCTCTTTTCATTATAATAATAAGAGAAAAACAACAGAGAGGAATTCATCATCATCATCATGGAGAGGTGGTGAATCATCAAATCAGAATCAGAATCATAACAAGGGATGTTCCTATGGTGATAGATGTCTATTTTCACATAGTGCTGTTTGTAAACATTATAAACAAGTGGCAATATCTTCCGAGAATAATTTGAATCAATTGACTCCTGCTTGTCAATTTGGAAAGAATTGTAAATATTTGCATATAGACTTTAAAGACACTAAAGCAAAGAGAGAATTGAAGGTTTTGGCTAATTCTTCACAATTTTCTGATATGAATAGAACTGATTGGTTCATTAGAAAGGAAAATCCTCTTAAAAAACACAACTTGAAAGGTTTTATTGATTTGGTTGGAATTAATGGAGAGGAAAGTGAATCAGATCGATATCTTTCGGTTGTGGATGTGCAACTCAATGAGAATGGTGCCTTTCTTGCTCTTTCTGATGGAACTGTTTGGAATTGTTCTAAGGAGGCACTCATGTCAGGCATTCATGGTCAAAAGGAAATTTCAAATACCAATACTCTGACTAATTACGACAAGTATTTGGAAATGAAAGGAAGGGAAGAAATTCCAATCACTACTCTTGGTAAGTTTCAAAACTGATATCAGTGAAAATTAATGAAAATTAATTCCAGAGAGAATACCATTTTCTGTAAAGGAGTTGAATATTGTAAAATGTTTTTCAAGTGGATGTTTAGTGACTGGAACATTTTCTTATTACTTGACAAAGGATGGATCTTTACTCAGTCAAGGTTGCAACTCTTTTGGTCAATTAGGAAAGGGAAAGAAGGACCTTTCAGATTCATTTGTTCCATTCCACATCCCTGCAGAATATTTTCAAAATCAACAAGTCGTGGATGTGGCTCTAGGTCAAGATCATGTACTGGTTTTAACCAGTAATGGACAAGTATTCTCAGTAGGAATTAATGAAAAAGGACAATGTGGAGTTGACGCCTTGTTGGATAGAATCCTAGATTTTACACTTGTAAAATTCCCATACGAATCTGAACAAGAATTTATTGTAAAGGTTGCCTGTGGAGATGAACATTCATTATGTTTATCAAATTTAGGAAATGTCTATGGATGTGGATATAATCTCTATAATCAAATTGATCCAGATACTAATGCAACACTTTTTGAAAAATTTAAAAAGATTGCCATCCAATTGGCATATCAACAGGATAAGATTGTCGATATTTCATGTGGACCTCAATATAGTGCTTTTTTAAGCAAATTTGGACAAGTTTACATGTGTGGACAAAATACTTTCTCACAATGTTGCCTCCCTTCCAAGCAAACTAAAGTGACCTCACCCACTCATATTAATATCAGAAATGAATTTATCAAAAAGGTTATTTGCACCAAGGGAAGCACAACATTCTTTATCACCAGAGAGAATGAAATCTATGCAGCTGGATCAAATGATTATGACATGATTTCACCTCTCACCTGCAATGCACATTTCAATATTTCCAAACCTGTCAATATAACTGATTTGATTCTTCCAGAGAGCAATAGAAAGTGGTGGCAAATTGAGGATATTCAGAGCTCACCAATGTTTTTCATGGTTCATTTGATTCGTATAGATCACCATGCCAAAAGAGGAATGTTAAATTGTGCCTTACAGAATAAGTTTTGTGATGTTATTGTGCAGTAAAATTGTTATTTGTTGAAACAAAAGTGAGTTGGATACATGAACGTTTTTCAATACTCCATATGACTCCTCTAATTCAAAGGTTTTTCTTCTTAGAATCTCTTTAAAGAGATTAGTTGTTCCAATTCATATGTATGATTACTCAATTGACTATTAGGAGCGCTACAACTATTGGATTGACTTGTAACTAACACCAAAAAGAGAGGTATTGCGACAATTTATTGCTATTTTACATATATAATACATATAATTGTTATCATGTTCATTCCTTATCACTGTGATGTTTTTAAAGGGATTGTTCTGTTGGTGCCAAAACAATTTCTCTCAAACAAACATGTGGAGGAGCTTGATAGGCATACAGAATAGATTCGGCAACATCTTGTGCCTTTAGAATACCCAAAGTAAGTCCCTTCTTCATTCCTTCAACCATTTCGTGTAGTTTCTCATCGTGTCCAGTAATTTCACTCTCTGTCACTCCAGGTGAAATTACAACAACTCTGACCTTGGAAGAAGCAACCTCACTTCTCAATGTTTCACTAATGGCATGAACTGCAAACTTTGAACCACAATAAACTGAGGCACCATCCATGGTCTTTCTTCCAGCAATACTGCTGATGTTAATGATGGTTCCTGCTTGTCGTTGGACCATGTCCTTGGCAACGACGTTAATGCCGTTGAGGACACCCTTGATATTGACATCAATGACAGCATATTGCTTATCTAATGATTGCTCAGAAAGTGGAGAAGAATGACCAATTCCAGCATTGTTAATGAAACAGTCAACTGGTAAATTGAACTTTTTGGTTGCCAATTCAACTCCTGTACGAATATCTTCAACATTGGTGACATCACATTGATGAATGAGAGTATTATCTTGATTGAAAGAGTAACGACTATCATTCACCAATTCTTCCAATCTGTCCTTTCTTCTAGCAAGGAGAAGCAACTTGTAACCCTTCTGAGCGAATAAAACTGCAGTAGCTTCACCAATACCACTGGAAGCACCTGTAATGACGACTAATTTGTTTGTTGTTGTAGACATTTTGTTGTTGTTGTTGTTTTTTTGAATTATTATTTGAAGAATTGCAATAATTGTTTTTGTTGCTTAAATAGGTTTGAATTAGTACGCACTAGGCACCTAGGATAATCTTTCAGTTGGTTTTAGAGAAATGACGGCCATTTTAAAAGTGCACCCTAGGCCTTTGGATTTATGCACACGACTATTAAAATATCCATGGTGGAATTTCTAAACAGTCACAGTTGACTGGTTTAAGTGAATTGTGTTTATATTAAATATTTATGGCGGGAAAATTGGATCGTTTCGAATGAATTAATAATGAGGTGAAACGTGTTGCCCATCATGAGAGTAAACCAAGTCAGGGAAGAAACTCTTAAAAACCTTAAAGTGCTCATCAATGTACCTATTTGAGGGATAATTAGGAACAGCCGAATCTTCCTCAAATGCCACCTCCAAATGTTTATGAGCTACCTCTGCCAAAGACATGATATTGGTCATGTACTTGGCACTTGCTGCCACAACAAACACTCCATTAGCATCCTTTGCAATGATTTCATGTTGAGCTAAAAGTGGAATGAGAGGATCTGGTTTCTTTTGTTTGGCACTTAAACGAATTAAGGTTAAAGTCTTTGTTGAGCTTGCTGGTAGATAAAAGTCCACAAATAGATTTCTCCTAATACTATTCGTGGCCAGTACATCCTGTGGTTCAATAATTGTTACATGTTCATATTTCAAAATATCTGGAAATTTCAGATATTGATCAATATTCGATCTCAAAATGCAAAACTTTTTCAAATTGGGAGGAAAACAGGGAATCATCTTTTCATGATAATCTCTCGATGAGGAATGGAGAATAAGGCAAAAATTATCTACTGAGCTCATTTGAGAAAAGTCAAACTTTTTCTTTTTAGAATCTAAACAATCGACATATTTCAATGATTTGAAAGAATTGGCGAAAGTTGATGGAATCACAACACCTTTACCATTATAGTAATCGTATCTGATGACAAGGTTATCCAATAGGTTGCCATTCAACTTGAGTAAATGCTCCATCAACTTGATATTCAATGGATACCAAGCTATTTCAATACCTTTCAAGTTGGTCAATTTGGACATTTTCTTCGTGTCTATCTTTTTTACTTCCCTGCCAAGACTGATTGTGAACGGTACGAAATAAATTGTCTCCCAAAAGGCCTTACATAATAAAGTCAACTCTTTCAGTTCACCAATTTCTAATACTTGATGTTTAAACGCAAACTCCAAAACTAAACTCATTGGATCAGTTCCAATTTTCTGCAACTGGAAAACAGCTGCTGCTGATGATGAATTATTAACAATGGAAGCATTCTTCTTCATTTCGGCAGAATAATAAACATTAGTCTGAGGTCTCATTCTCTTGATAATCAACAATTCCTCTTTAAATTGGTTCAAATTCTTAATCTCGGAATCAATGGTTGCAATTTCATGATCAATTTCGTGATTGGTGGCATTTTGAAAGTCGTCTGAACGTTTTAATTTTTTCTGCTGTTGTTTGGTTGAGGTGCTGGAAGATTCCTTTCTTTTCATTTTTTTTTAATTATTTTTGAAGTTTAAAGAACTTTGAAAGTTCATATTGGAAAATTTCTATAATATGATGTCAACACAGTAAAGTTAGTTAAGAATGTAAGCAGCGATAGATCAGTTGGTTAGATCGTAAGCCTAACACGCTTAAGGTCGCGGGTTCAAGCCCCGCTCGCTGTAACCTTTTCCTTAGTATTCGGGTATTGACTTTTAGGTTTAGTAAAAATTCAATGATGATAAACATTGTTTATGTTTTTTAATTTTATTTATTTTATTTAAAAAAAATGGGCAAACAAAACAACAAACGTCAACATCAACAAATTTCAAAATCCACCACGACTCATGAGAAGTCCAACAACAGAAGAAGAACAAACCATCTTCATCTTCCACAACAACAACAACAACAAAAAAAACAAAAACTCCGAACATTAAGTCTCTCCCTTCCCCACTAAAAAAGAAGCAAATGCCTACTTTGAAAAGATGGTAAAACTCTTAGCCAACAAACAAGGGAGTGATGATGATGATGATGATGATGATTATTACAGTGACGATGATGATGGTGATTATACTGATGACGAAGATGGCGAAGAAGAATTATATAATAGTGGCGATAGAACTGAAAAGGAAGAGTTTGAGAAACGAATGGAGATGTACATGAAGGAAATGTTGGAAGAGGAAGGTATTGATGAGGAAAGTGACGAAAGTGAGGAGGAAACTAAAATTGTGAAGAAAGTGGTTGAGCCAAAGAAGAAGAAGCAGAAAATGGAAAGTGGTCAATCAGCAAGTAGCTCTTCTGGTCAATCAGGAGTTTATTTTAATGTTAAATTTGATTTGCCAAGAAACAAATTTAATAGAGTAATGTGTTTGTCAGTTCAGAATGCTAATCTGCGACATTTACACAATTTGCTCATGTATGCTTTTGATTGGGATGATGGTCACTTGCACATGTTTCACACCTGTAAAGGCGAATTCACAGATAGAAGTATGTGTCAGGAAGGAAAAGAAGAATCGAAATGCAGATTGGACTCGGTTTTGAATAGAAGTGTTGACAGTATTGATTATGTCTATGATTTTTCCAGTGAATGGAATATTTCAATTTCTTTGGAAAAGATTTTAACAGAACAAGCCATGAAAGCTCAAGCTGAAAAGTTGAATATTGAGTTGCCAAATGATTTAACAAAGGTTGTGTACTGTTGTGGTGGATTGGGTGGATCAATTGATGAAGAATCTGGAAAGAAGAAGGGAACCTTTGATATCAATAAGGAAAACAAGAGGAAATTTAACATTTGGAATTAAATGATTATTCCAATGTTCTATTGGAATGATATTTAAAATTTTTGCAAATTGAAGTTCTTTCATTAAGATTAAGGATTATTTTATCAATCTGCATTGTTCAACTTTATTCAATATTGAATTTGAATAATCATATAATGTGACTTGGAACTACAAAGATTTTATCACAAGTCCTACTGCCATTTCGTCTGCAATTCAATCATTGGAAGCTCTTGGATCTTCTTCACCAGATTCTGCCTTGAGAGTTTTCCAATCTTTGGAATCCACATACAAATGCGGCAAAGACAGTTGACCGAAATTGGCGCAAAGATTATCAAAGCATACTTTAGTAAATTGTACTTCAAGTCAATTGTCTAAACCGCTTATGCGAAACTCAATTTATAAGACGAAGAAGTCGAATCTTCATTGAATAGCGCCTCTACAATGTTATCCAACATGTTGAATAATATCGTTGCTAGAACTGTTTCGTTATTCTCAAGAGATCAAGTTAAGAAAATGGATTTAATTAAGGAAACTTTAATTAACACGAAATTGCTGACATGCCAGCTGTCAGAACTTCTGGTTCCGATTATCATGAATATATTAGATTATTGAGTATTTCCTCAATGAATTGACCTATCTTCAATTGTCATTTTTTCAATAATCATTGTTTGTGTTAGAAGAAGAAAGAAGGAGAAGGCAAGAATCTGGTAACACCATGGGCAACCGAATCTAATCAAATTGAAGCTAGAGATCTTACTACTGAAACAAGTCCACTGACTTCAAAAGGTTTAATAAATGAAATTGTTCTTGTCAGTCCAATAGATGTTAATATTTCTTTGACAATAACTTTTTTATTGAGAATGTTAGTTGTCAATATTCCTCAATGAATTAGATTCCTTTAACGTTGTCATTGGAAAATCTTCCGCTGGTGTTTTGTGGTTCAGAATTCGAGAATTCTGATGAGCTTAATACACCTTTCCGAAGAGTTAAACTTCTGTTTGAGCATAGATGCTTGGACAATTGGTGATTACAAATGTCGTCTCTGATTACCCAAAAGCTTTCTTATGACTGGTACACAATCCAGATTATTCATATTGGAATATTGAATTTGATAATATGTTGTTGATTATCTATTGTTGGAAAGAACTTTCATCATCTGATCATCAGCAAAATAAATTTTGCACAAATCACTTCTCTTTTCATTCAGTTTGAGGTCTTCCCAATCATCCGAGGTGTGATAGTGTTGGAAAACAGGTGGTGATGGTCTCGTCTTTCTTTTGATCAATCCTACCAGCAATTTGAGCTTGGAACAAATTGTTTCCTTCGCTCTGTTCAATCCTTCCTTGACTTTCATCTTGTGATGATCAAGACTACAACGATGATCATTGTTTGGCTCTGCTGATCACGAGGCGGAACAGATGTTGTTGTTATTATGGTCATCATTGCTTGTTTCGCTTCCGCAGTGTCTGGACTAACAACAATTTGTGTGGCGGTTGTAGAGTAGGTGTTGTATTTTTGATCAACACTCGAAGGAATAGAAGAACTTGCTGGTACGGATTGATCAGTCATAATGACTAGGGGGTTGAGACTTTTTTTTTTGCTTGGAATTTCTGGAAGTTGGATTGAGCGGGAAAATTCGATATTTAGTGGTTAATAAACACTGATTCAAGTCAATTCTTGTTGGGTATCATTCTATTGTTTCGAATAATTTAAACTAGATTCGTATAAAAAAACATCACTCCCAAATCAAGTTTCGTACAACAATATACAATTCTTCATTCCAATCTCCCTTCATTCAACATCCTTAATTCTTCTTCTTCTCCACCAACAAAAACATCAAACATTTTTGAAAAAAAACCTTCAAAAACCAACCCTCATTTTCCCCGCCACTTTTTTCTTTTAAAAATTTACGGAATTTTCAAATCACTCAACTCTGAAGAGTTATTAAAGCCACCTTCCTCTCCTTTTAGGCGATCTTCTCTTTCATCTTCGGGAGGAGGAGGAAAACAATCTCATAGTAATCATTCAATTCCTTCCTCCGGATCATCTGCTGGTTTAGAATACAATAATCATAATACCGACACCTCATCATTAACCCTTTGCACTAGTAATCATTGTAATTGTACTAATTGCAGTAATTGTACAAATAATAGTTGTAATAATACATCATCACATCACCAACACTTGAAAGAAATGAAAAAGTTGAAAGCCTTTTCTTCCTCATTTACTCCATTAAGTACGGCGAGTAATAGTGGTGGTGGAAGTCATGGTATTGATCCTTCTTCTACAATGGTCATGTCCAATGGTGGTGCTGGTCAACCTCCTCCTCTGCTTCAAACATCAAATAATAATGAACACTATGTAGATCCTCGTACAGCTTATGATGGTGCTGCCATGTTGGAACATTTGAATAGTATTGTAAAGAATGTTCATGATTGCATGATGGTGAGAGTTATTGGAGCTACTGATCTCGTGCCAAAAGATAAGAATGGATTTTCAGATCCTTATTCAATTGTGACCTTTACGAATACGGATCCTAATGGAATTCAGGAGAATTGGCTCACTGCAAAGACTGCAACGAAGAAAAAGACACTCAATCCTAGTTGGAATGAAACATTTCAAATTAATTTGACAGAGTGTGTTATGAAAAGTATTGCTGCCATGTCAGCTCCTAGCTCACCAAATAGCAAAATTCCAACATCACCAGGTGGTGGAATGATGATGCCATTCTCAATTCCAAATGATTTGAATCCACTCTCAACTTCTACATTTAATTTCAAAATAATGGATTATGACATGTTTTCGAGTGATGAGAATGAAGGAGACGTTTCTCTCAAATTGACTAGTATTCCAAACATTTATGATCTTCCAGTCAATCTAGTACTAGAAAACACAGAAAAGGGATCCCTTTCAGTTGCATTCAAAATGAAGTGTGCACCCAGATTCTCCATCAATGAATTAAAACTCTCAAAACCAATCAAGAAGGGAGATTTTGTTAAAAGTTCTAGATATTCATGGTTGATTGGTACAGTGAACTATCCACTCAGTCCTTGGGAAATGGGCCCAGAATTGAACAAGAATTGGGAGAAGGCGCAAGAAGAGTTGATGGAATTGTTGGAGAATTCAGATGCTCTTGAACCTCCACCGGTAGAAAAGAGAAGATCTCGTCGTTTCTCCCTCAAGAGAAACTCGAAAAATCTCAGTAGCAAGATGGGTGCTCTCTTTGCCAATGAGTGTCTTCCAAGATGGAGAGAGGAACGACAGGTCAATAATGCCATCTATTGCCTCGCGACAGATGTGGAACATTGTTTCCAACATAATCCTGCTGTGGTCGATAGAGTTTTTGTCATGTTATTGGTTGGATGTAATAGTCAAAATGATCCATTCGAAGATATTCAAAAAGGATTGGAAAACGAGCTCCATATTAGTAATGCCACATTCAAGGATAAGGGAACCACTAATGAGGTTAAATCTCTCATCAAGAAGGAAGATGCAAACAGTAGACGAACATTCCACATTATTTCATTCAAAGCAGATTTTGATGTCACAGAGCAGGTTAACAGGTTAGAAGCCAAATATCCAAGATATTTGCACTCTCAATTTCCAGTTAAATTGGGTGTAGAAGGCAAAATCTATTCTCTCGATATTGGTTGTAATGCCAAGCTACTGTACGTTTACGTTTCAAATTGCGGAAAACCAAATCTGACACCATTCGTTGAATTGGTGGCCAACTCGGTGCCTTCCTCTTCAGCAACCTTATTCGAATCTCTGTTTTTGGATATTGATGAAACATTATGGATAAAGTGTCCTTATGGATGGGAATATAAGGAAGAGGAAGTCAAACCAAATGCCAAACTAGATTCACCCATGCAATTGAGAGCTCACAAAGAAGGAAAGACCCTATCTATCGATAATTTCTTAATGAAAAAGCTCAAAATAGAAACAGTTAATCCACCAGATGAAAGTGCTCTATTGAATCTTGCAAGCCAACAATTATCACTCCTCTCCGAGCAACACAACAATTTCCTTCAAATATCAGCTCCAGAAAAGAAGAGATTTGTCAGCTCTAACAAGAGGGAAATCTTTGTCTATCTATCAGAATGTGAATATGAATTGAAAAATCCTCCAGAACTCACACCTGAAAGTATGAAAAAGATTACACATATCGAGGCACTTGTAAATACTACAGGAAATCATGTTTGGTCGCTCACATATTCTTCCAATTTAGGTGGTGGATACAAACAATTATTCCAAACTATTCTCTCTGAAATTAAAACAGCAGAAGATTAATAATACTATTAAAAATAAATTACTAGGTATATATTCCTAATTATACAAATAACTTATAATATTAGTATAACTTCACAGATAATAATAATATTAACTATTTACAACCATCTCAACCAATTAATCAATTCTTGGAAACTCAAAGAACCCGACTTGTCAGTATCAATATAATTCAAAGCATAATCAATATCAGCCATATTTGCAGAATAATTATTGTACAATTGTTGATAGAAGGAAACAAATTCCTCTCTCGATATTTGTCTATTTCCACTTGTGTCTGTATTCTTGAATAAGAGTGCAGCATAGGTCAATCGGTATAATCTTTCACTGCTCTCTGGTTTTGTTACAATATCTTCATCATTCTTCACAATAGTTGTCCAATAATTAAAAAATTCATCAAAGGAAATTTTACCATCGGAATCCTTGTCCATATACATTTGAATGGCCATCAAATTATCATCGGAGAAGTTAATTCCCATATCCGCAACAAATAAATTCTTCATTTCAGAAATATTGATAGAATTGGAATTATCTTGATCGTATTTCTTGAAGAGACTGTGAATGACCGATCGGGAGGTACAATGAGTGAGTGATGCCATTTTTTTTGATTTTAAAAAAATTCAAAATAAATATTTTAAATATTTTATTAAATGTAACGGACAAATGATTGACGAGTTTAGGATAGTGAGTTTCCACAATAAATAACACAAAGATGCAAGAATAAAATAGAGCTGAGTCTAACGATTCAGTTCCTACAACATTTGCATCTTCCCATCATTAAGAAAGAACAAACTCAGTAAGCCAACTAAGATCATGATTCGCTTTTTGTAATAATTGCAAAACTACCCACATTTGCACATAAACTCCGTTTGGGATCAACTTTTTCCCTCCAAAATTTTAAACTGTAAATTTCTAAATCTTTAAAAAAAACTCCACAAGCCTGTATATTAATAACATGCTTCATACTATTTGCCGAGAAGTGTTGCAGATTCCGTTTAATCGGACTGGAAGATATTCAATTAGTAGGAAATAAATAATTTGGACATGTCTTGACAATTTTATACCGAAAATCAAAACCTTTGGCAACACCTTACACGAATGGACAAGCCAAACACGAAAAGGTCGAACAATGAAATTATTGAATCGGATTGTACCTTCATCATGAAGGAAGGAGCAATACCAACTCAGATGTTGCCTCCTCTGAAGATGATTCTGATGAGGAGGAATCTAACCACAATATCTTCATCTCGGATTCTTGATAACTGAATTGAAGAAAAAAAGTATTTCACTCCCACGTTCCTCTACTATTCTTCAGTTATTGTTCAAAGTGATTAGTAGACATAGAATCGATCGATTTTGATCAAAACAAAACCATTGCCAATTTTATTACTCGTTTACTCTCTTGTCACCTAACACTTTCCTAATTGCCTGCCGTAAAAAAACGACTCTTTTTCTAACCTGACACTTTCCACAACAATAGAACTCACATCCTAACAAATAACAACAATTTATTTACTCTTCGTCGTCATCCTATTTCATCATCATCATCAACAATTAATGTCTGGAAAATTTTCCGAATCAATTACTGGAGTGACACAACAACAACAACATTCTAACTCATCAACAAGGAGCAGTCCACATATGAAGGAACAAGATATGTTCAATAGATGGTTTCGTCTAACCTCGGGTAATCAACAAGAAATTGAAAAAGATTTAAAACGATTGAGCTCGAGAGCATATTTTGATAAATCTGCCACAAATCAACCTGTAATACCCGATATTCCAAGAAATATGGAATTATCAGAATACATTGGAACTTTGCTCATGGTAGACGATTCTGATGCAGATACTCTTTCATTGTTGAAAAGAAGAGGGACTGAAGACCGTATTCACGAGTTGGTTCTTAGTCATAGAAGAGAGTTTCTCAAATACAAAAATGTAGAAGAAACAATCATATCGGAAATAGTGGAATATTTTGGACTCACACTAGACGAAGAGGATGAAGTATTTCTCGACAAGTCATTCTTCTCATCCAAAAAGAGATCCTTCTCCCTCTCCAACAACAAGACTAACTCTATTGATATTTGTGCAATTAAGGACTTTACATCAGATTCTCGAGGAGCAAGTTTACTTCATCGTGCTTGCCAATTTAACAAATTCAAACTGGTTTTCTTCCTGCTGAAATATGGAGGTCAAAATGCCTTCTACGTATTGGATTCAAACATGTCAAATCCTCTACATTATGCCTGTAGTTCTGGATCTATTCAATCGATAACTGTATACCTAGGAACCTACTCAAAGTATGGTAAGCAATTGGATATTTCTTCAATGAGGGACAATTTTGGAAATACACCAATTCATGTTGCCATTCAAAACTCTCACTTTGAAATTTGCCAATATCTAATCGACCATCAACCTCAATTAATTAACTTGAAAAAGACTGGCTCTTCACATTCATTGCTGCATCAAGTTGCAGAAAACTTTGATTTGAAAGGGCTCAAATTTTTATTGGAAACTAATGCCAATCGATCACCTTCCTTACACTCTCAAGATCAATTCAAATGTACACCATTCTTGCACGCTATCAAGTGCTATTCTAAGGACAGCTTGGAGGGAGATGTGGCTCGTGTCACCAAGCTTAGTATTGACTTGTCGAACAATGAGGATGATTCAAACTTTGAATCGTTGGGAAATGAAAGAAAGTGGAAGAAACTTAGAGTCCTCTCCTACCTCTTGAAATATGAACAAATGGCTCTGGAGAAACAAAGCGTATCCAAATTATCATCATCTAGGGGATTACTTAGCTCCAAGGGAAATAGATCATCTTTAGCTAGCCAAGTTGATTCTCAAAAACGAAATTGTCTTCATTTGTCTTGTCTCAATGGAGGAGATCACTGTGTAGATTTTATTCGAGTACTCTTTTTAACTATATCCGCCTCTGAGCTATGTCAATTACTGGAAGCCAAAGACTATGAGGAGAATACTCCTCTCCATCTTGCCTGTCATTATGGAAATATTGAGGTTGCAAAGACTCTAATGCATGGATTCCAAATATTGAATGAACATAATATTGTTCCCAGCTCATTTTCTGCTCTGCAACAATCAGAAAATTCACCAACTCCATCTACAACAAATAGTGGAATACCCTCCACTATTGACTATTCAAAAGTCTTCTTTTCTCTTAGAAACAAGAAGGGAGAAACACCACTTCATGCAGCAGTTTCTGCACTTGGGGATTTGAACAGAAAACGGAATAGTATCATGGTGAATGGAGCTCTTCTTTCAGAACCAACCTCTCCAACATCACCAACAAACTCTATTCCTGCCTCCTCTGGAAAGAGAAAGAAGAGTTTTGTTGAAATTCAACTCAAGGAAAAGAAGATGAATATCATTTCTATCATTAATTATCTTTGGGGAGATTCAAGAGTGGACATTAATGCAAAGAATAATAATGGAGAATCAGTTTATGAACAATTGAGAGATCGAACAGATTACTTTGAAAAGACACTCAGAGGTACTTGCTCTCCATCGAGTAGAAATCCATCACCAAATACTACCACCATTATGCCTTCTACTCCCACATCTCCTAATAGTAATATGCCCTCCAATTCTTCCACTTATAGAACTACCTCTGCTCCAATCTTGATTGCCAGCTCGCCCAACTCTAAACACTCCAAAAACTCATATAGTAGATCATTCCATGATAGAACTCTAAACTCCTCTCGCCATCATATTGGTGCTTCCTTTTCAAATATTCAATACTAAACAAAACTCAACTTTGAAAAAGGTCATTATTTTCACTTAAATATTTGCACTATAACGATGAAAGATCACCAAAATATAATACTCCGAGTGACAATTTTTTTATCATTGATTATAAGCATTACAAAAAATCAAAACAATAACACACAGGAACATGCCAAGAACATTATTAGAAAGTGTAAAAATAACTCATTGACCTGTATAAAAGATTCACAAATTTTGCTTTAAAATTCACAACATACAAAAAAATGTCATTATTGATTGCTGACTGCATCAGTCATGTTTTAGAGTTTTGTCCATTAGCTGAACTTACATCAGTGGTTTTGGTAAACAAAACTTGGCATGCTGGATTGACATCAAGTGTTTGGCTTACACAATGCAAAACACATCTAGGAAAGGAAATGACAAACGTCAAGTTACAAAGCAAATGTGTGAAATTATATAGAAAATTATTTGGTGATGATCATCCAGTTATCGAAAATTTATTGCTTTCCCGTGATGATAAAGAACCTGGTGCACACAAAGTGTCAAATGTCAAGAAAGTTGACTATCATAAATCATTGAAAGGATATGTGATTGGCAAGTTGAGAAGAAGAGAAGGAGATGAATTGAAGAAATTGATTCGTTTACCTCTTCAACTAGTCTTTGGCGAAGGAGATGGAAGAAAAATTGATAGAAAAGTTGCATTCGAAAGAAAGTGGAAGAAAGTAAACGAATTCCTAAAAGATGAGTTGAAAAAGAAACACATTAGCTATTCAATCAGTGAAATGTTCATGAAAAGGGTGAAACGTGATTTGAATCTTGTTTTTAAGAAAGATCAAAAAGCAAGTTTCGAATTGGGAAGACGAATTTCACAAGAAATAGCCAGTGGTCAATATTTGCAAAGATTTGGAGTTATGAAATTTTATGAATTGTTTCTCCAATATTTGGACAGCTCATTAGTCTTATCCGATCAAGTCCAATTGGTGAGAGAAAAAGTTGAGCTATCATTTACTGAAATTGAAATTTCCTCATTCGAAACTTTCAAGGTTCTATTGGATTTTGCAGCCAAATATTGTCCTAAACAAGAGAAATTCATTAGAAATCATATAGAGAAGGACACAACTAAGGATTCCTCTTTGAAATCATTCCTCTTTGAGAAACCACAAAGATTAATAGGACATTACTTACTTGAAAAAAGAGGAATGAGACTTTTTGCTCAAATATCAGATGGATTCGAATATTTACTTGAGGAATGCAAGTTTGTAATCCCAAATTTCCTTGTGGATTGCTTGATTTTTAAGAGTGAAAAACTTGCTAATGGAAGGGGATTGGCAATAGTTGATGCCTATTCGAAATGTCACAATATTCCATATTTGAATGTTGATTTTATGGTGCAACTTATTGCACAATTCGGTAAAGTTGTTCCAAAGAAGGAAATATTGAAGAATATTGAAACTCTACTTCCCAAAATTAATGATGATCCAAACCTTCCTTTAATTTTCAGAATTACTGCCTGTAATTTCGATGGATATGTGGGAAGTGACGATTTACTCGCACTTATGAGTCTGTTATGCAAATTTTCTAAAGTGGTATTTAAAGAGGATGTTAAAGCTCCTTATCGTGATCCTCTCATCTTTATAGCATGTCAAATGACTAGTGCTTTTGGTACCTACAGTAATGAAAAAGAATGGGTAGATTTATTATTGGAATTTTTGAATAAGGGATCCAGAAAGAAATTTATGGATTATAAAACGTTGAAAAGTTTTGCCCAAATAGTCGACTCTAAACCATTCCCTAGGAGTGTTAGATATATTCTGGTTGATTACTTGGGTGATTATGAGTAAAATCAATCCACTTAATAAAATTGCTATATTTATTCAACCCACTTGGTAATTACTGGTCTCTTGTTACAGGCCTTGATTCTGCTTCCCAAATCAAAAGTATAATCAGATTCAGTGCCAGCTCCAACTCCACTAATTGCCAAATCACCTCCAACATATTTTGTATCAATATTTTGTGAGAGTTTTGTCAAGAATGGATCTGACAAGAATTGATATTGATTTCTCTGTCTTTGAGTAAGGAATTGTGAAATGACAGCCCAAAGCATCTTGGCCATCCATGGAATGTTCATAACAAAAACAATTTCAGATCTCTCAGGGTAATAAAAGCCCAAAAGGTCAAAAATAAACTTAATCTTCTTGACCAGATCAATAGAAAGAGAGGCATCCTTAATATCTACAACCCATGTAATTTGGAATGGTGCAGATCCCAAAAATTGACTCTTATCTTGACCGAGATAGTTTTGACTCGATCCATCGTAGAGTCTATTCATAATGTATTCGAAACACAAACACAAGTGTCTAAATCTTAACAGAGTTGCTCTATCATCCAATTTTCTACTCAAATCTTCTCTTCCAACAACCATGTAAACTATTTGTTGATGAATTCATTGTTGTTATTCCAATTGAATGTTAATACTGGAAAGAGAAATAACTTACTCATTGGATTTCCCATCTTGTCAAGTCCATAATCAAACAAGGAACCACATTTGGCACTTTCAATAACATCTTCCCATTTTGTCTTCTCTGGTTTATAGATCCATCTCCAAACAATATTATCAACAACAAGTTTGGCAATTCTTTGTGGTGATTGACTGATATTTGGATCCCATCCTCTCATGTAAAAGTAAATTCCAGAATTACTCAAATAAATAGATTTTCTCAACAATAAATATTCCTCTGTTGTTAATTGGAAAATATTTTCCTTGACATTGGCCAAGAAGGCAGAATCTTCATGTTTTCCATCCTTCAAATAAGTGTGAATATTCTTTTGAATGTAATTCTTTGACAAGTCCTCATTTGGTTGATCCCACAATTCCTTTTCAATACTTGCTTCATTAGACTTGTCTTCAAACTCTGTAGCTTTTGGATTTTCAGTATTGTATTGTCTAATTCCTTCCAAAAGTCCAATCTTTTCATCAAACAACAATGATTTGAACTGATTCATCTCTGGTTCAGCACCAAACATTTCCTGATAAGCACTTACTCCATCATTAGGAGCAGCAGTCAATACATAACGAACCAAATCAATAACTATCTGTAAAAAGACCAACTTTTCATTCGTAGTAATTTCCTTCTCCAACAAATTCTTTACATGAGGATTTCTCGGAGTGATTGTATGAAGAATTTCAAGACTAGATGGATAATCAGGATCATCCTGATGTTCAAATTTGAACTTGTAACTTGCATTGTTTTTGGCCATTTTGTTATTGTTTGTTATTGTTATTATTATTAAATATTAATATTAAATTAGAGTTTGATGTTATTGTTATTGTTGTATGATGAAGAAAATAATTATTTATACGCGTGGTGCTAAAATATATGATACAAAAAAATAATGTACAGATCAGATCGGCTTAAGATAGGAAAAAAGCCTTGGATCCAACGGATTTGATGAAGAGTTTGTTGTTTGTTGATTTTTTTTTATGTAATTTTCTTAATCTTCTGTAAAAGGACAATTTAGTGTTGTTATTTTACAAGATTTTAAATATTAAATATAATAAAAAAAATGAATAATTGCCTCATCAGAAGAGTTGCCTTTTCCACAACAAGGAACAGAACTGGACCTTGGGTCGTATTATCCAATAATCATCATCAAAAAGTAAATTGCTTCTACTCTACCTCTTCCGCAGCCAATCATCATACAACAACAATAACATCAAACTCTGAATTATTAGAATGGTACAGAAAATTAGTAAAGAGAGCTTCCTATATTGAGAGTGAAAGTAAACGTAAGCAAGTACTCGCCCAATTAAAATCCGAATTTTCCAAGTCTTCATTGAATGATTGGAGAAGGAAGGCTGAGGAGAGTTTCAAATTTCTCTGTATGATTACTCCAAAAGTACCAATTTCTAAACAACAACAAACAAAGGCTAATGATGGCGTTACACAATTTGTTAAAGTTGATGGAGAATGGCAAGCTATGAAGAGTGTCGACCCGGAAAAGTTACAAAAGAAGGATTCTGCTTATTTGAAGGAAACTTCTCAACCTCCTCCATCAGCTTGTCCACCAGGAGGTTGTGGTAGATGTCAATTTTAATTGTACGTATATTGTTTAATAATAGTATTATAATATTAGGAATAAATTTAAATATTATTTAATCAAAAAAATAGCATAACGTTGTTTTGATGAATCATAACGATTCTTCTTAGAATTAAATAATAATAGTAATAATAGTAATAGAGGAAAATATGAAAAGATTAAATCATCATCAGGAGGAAGTACAACAGGATCCGAAAAGAATCAAGTTTTCATCTTCATCATCAACAAATAGTATTCAAGCTGTTGTGATCACTCTCATCGATTTACATAGCAACCACCTAATCGATGAAAATGATTGGTGTTGTATTAATTATCGTAAATTGACCAGACAAATGGATGGGTTGAGATTGTGGACAGTGAGAAGGAGACAAGTTTGGGATACAATTTCGAATCCAAAGACATTTCATGGAATTCCAATAGAACACTGCAGGGATCCATTTACTCTAGAAAAATCATGGGCCGAAGGTTTGGCTTTCAATTTAGGAACATTGTTTCAAACTGATAATGAGACAGCTTTAGAAATGGTGAAACGTTCTCCAAAATGCTTTTCTGTTCTGAGAAGTAAAGACAAGGACGTTATATTGGAAGCTCTCAATACACCACGAATTGTTAGATATACAGATTTGGATGTTATTCACAGATATTTAAAAAGCATACAAGACAGAGAATATGCAATACAGCTCATTACCAAATACGGTAAAATATTAGATTTTTTAACACACTTTGAGGAAGATGAAGAGATGCAATTGCTTGCTTTTAAACATGGTTGGTATATAACACAGCTTCCTCAAAAGTGGAAAGAACTTATGGAAGATAAATCTAATGTTATGGAAATTCTCCAAACCAATAAGAATATTATCAAACATATACCCAAAGCAATGCTCATGGATAGAGAAATTCTTGATGCAATATTTGATAGTGTTGATTCAATTGATGATATTAACTTGATTCCAAAAGAAATTTTAAATGATAAGGAATTTATTTTCAAACTATTGAAAAAGGGCTATTATTTCCATCTAATAAGGTTTGGTATTTTGAAAAATTTCAGCCACGATTGGGACTTTATGAAGACTGCTACAAGTATTGAACCAAGTATTTTTACAATTTGTCCAATTGATCTTCGTTCGCAAAAGGAGTTTGCCCTATCATGCTTGGATACTGTTAGAGAATCGTTTCGATTTATTCCTGAATTCCTTCAAGATGATAGGGACATTTTATTGCAAGCAGTCAAATCAGATTTAAGTGTATTACCCAGACTTCCTCAAGATATTTTACAAGATAGAGAAAAAATTCTTACCATTATTAGAAGTTGTGAAAATAGATCATATACTACACCTGAATTTGATTATTTCAAGGAAGATGAGGAAATTTGGTATGAACTCTGTGTTAGAGATCATGAGTTAATTCATCAATCCAGGTTTGCATCTGACACTAATTTTTTACTAAGAGTCGCACAAAAAAATCCAAGAATTCCAATATCTATTGATTTTGACAAGTTGCCTGATCTTTCCTATTTTTTTAGAGAGTCTCTTAAAGTCACTAATTCAGCCATATTCTATTATCTAAAATTATATCCAGAGTTTTTCAATTTAGAGGAGGCTAACGAGATTACAGGTTTGTATCTGAGTAAGAGTAGTGATTTTAATGCCCTGTTTGCAAGGGTTTTGCATGATAAGTATAATAATTGTGTGTTACCTCCGCAAGCTCTGAAATTCAAACCAATCACTGAAGAATCATCTACTGACGAATCTGAAGAAGACTATGACTCGCTTGACTCGGATTATGCTGAATCAGAAGATGAGGATGATGAATTAGAAGATGAGGATGGTGAGGATGATGAATATTATTAATATAATTAATTAAAATAATATTTAAAATATTTTACAGAGTTAGTGGACTAAAGGCTACATCACCACACAAGCATTTCTCTTTGTCTTTTTTGAATTCTTCTTAAAATATTGAGACGAATCTTCTATATCTTCTGAAGTCGTAATCATTGAATCCAAAACGACTTGACTTTTCAAGATTTTTGTAATATTTTCTGTTTGTACATCCTGAACTTTCTCAATTTCGTTCTGAAGCTTTTGTATCTTGTCATTGTTTGGATCATTGTAAAATCCATTCAATTCTTTCATTCGTTCTTTAGTCAATTGATTTTTCATCATTTCTGATTCCATTTCGTCTATTAATGACCAACAAACACGTTGTTTCACCTCCGTAGAAGCAAAACAAATGTAGAAATATTTTCCACTAATCTTGATAAATACATTTGCTCTACATTCCGAATTATCATCAAAATTATTTTGAAATTCTAAACCTACTGGTCACTTGTCAAAACACGTTTACTATTTGTTATTTCTAGTTGGGTTACTACATTTTCCAATACAATATTCCTAATCTTTTTAATTTTCGGAAACTCTGCTACCGAGCTGAGTGTGCCAATGTCAACAACAATTTGATATTTTATCATTTTTTTTTGATTGATGGCAGTAATAAAACCCATCAATGCTCAACAAATTATCGAATTATTATTGGTTAGCCTTGGTTCATATATTCAGAAATTCTTCAAGTAAGGATCCACAAATAAGGAAAATTAAAAAACAGCGCTGTAACTCTACGTTTAAAAACTCATCAGAAAAAAATGCAAAGAAACGAAAGAGGAGGAGTTTTCATCCTGTTGGTTACCTTGTTGATCAGTGTTGCCTTGCTTGTTTCCAATGATCAAGTGTTGGCCATGAGAATGAATCATCATCATCACGGAATGAAAATTAATTCTTCATCGGACATGATGATGAGAGGTTTGAAATCAAAGGCTAATATCCAAGTTGGAGCTGCTGCTGGCTTGCCTGGGATGACCATTTCGATTCAACAACGATCATTGAATTATATGGCACAACAATTCATGCCATTGATTCAACAAAAGTTGAGTAGTGGATTCAATATTCCGGATATTCATACTGAAGATCATACTCCAATTGGAAAGGTTGAATTGAGTGCTACGAATATTCAAATTAGTGGAGTTTCATTGGCTACACCTGTTTTGACTATTGGAAATGGTGAATTGTTGGTAAATTTGCCATCGGCTCATGCTGATATGCATTGTGTAGGTTATTTTGTGTGAAATTATCTTTATGAATTTAATTGAATTTGATAGAATTGGAAATATGACAAGAAACATTTTGTTAGTGATCATGGATCTGCAGATGCCCACATTACTAGTATGTATAATTTTTGCTAATGATTTTAAATAATAATTATCTTGAAAAACAGTTGCCATTAGTTTGGGATTACAAATTTCAGTTCTTAGCCCAACCCAATTTGGAGTCACGGTTAATAATGTACAAGCTCATTTCAGTCAATTTGATCTCAAATTACATGGAGGAGCATCATGGCTCTATAACTTTTTCATCAAGAATTTTAAACATCATATTGAGGATAATGTCACTAACATGGTAACATCACAATTGACAAAATCATTGAATGAAGTAATTACCAAGGCACTCTCTACAATTTCTCTAGAATTTGACCTAAAGCATGGTATTGTTTTCGACTCTTCTCTCAGACAAGTCACTTATCAATCTTCCTCTCATTTTTCAATTGGAGTTGCTGGAATGTTCTTCAATAAGGGTGGAAATGTTTATAATGGCCAACCAACAACAATGTTGGAGACCTTGGGAAGTGATAAGATGATTGAAATTTTCATTGATCAATATGTTTTAAATACTGCTGGATTTGCTAGCTCACAAGCTAATATTTTGAACACTGTTGTGACATCTGCCAATATTCCAAAGAATTTTGGATGGTTATTTAACACTAGCAGTTACTCGTCATTGGTTCCAAGTTTATACTCTTTGTGTAACAATTGTGAAATTCAATTGGATATTACTGATGCAACAGCTCCAACTGCTAACATTGATACTCAAATTGGATTGGAACTCGATGCTCAAGCATCTGCTATTTTCCAAATTATCAAACCAGACAAGACCATTGTCAATGCATTTGCTTTAAAGATTGAAATGGCTTTTGATACATTGCCAACTCTCCAAAACAACAACCTTACCTTTGCTTTCACCTATAAGAATGCCTCCATCTCATTACAATACTCCAACATTGGTCAATTCTCTGTTGGATTTTTGTCAGATGCCATCAAAGCTGTCATTGAATTTGGAGTCATTCCAATTGCCAACATGTTTATTGGACAGAAGGGAGTTCCACTTCCAGTCATGAAGGGACTCACTCTCAATAATCCAGCCATGGTCATTGAGGATGGATACATTTGCCTCAGATCCGATTTCACATTCCAACCTTCTCAAAAAACTTCATTGCCATCATCAGTTTTTAAGAATTTTCGTATTTATTAAATTATGTTAAATTTCTCTCGTAAGAATTTAAACTTTCTAATAATGAATTTAGAAAGAGAACATTCCCAAAATTGCTACCAAAAGCATAACCATCATGGAAACACTCAATCCACTAGCAGAACCACACTTGTAAATCTTCTTATCAGTTCCACAAGTATTCATTGTCAAAGAATTGGTAGAACCTTCAGTTTTACAAGCATCATCAGTGTACAAGATAAACTTTTCACATCCAATATATTTACCAGAATTATAAGAAGGTCCAAAAATAACGCTACTCTTGATACAGACATTAGTCTTGTAAACTTCATATCTATTCTTACTGGTGGCAGAGCAAGAGGCATCATCGAATGTGGAAATGTAAATTTCACCACTCTTTGAAACTGGAGTTGGGAAACCAGTTGGACATTCCCATTTAATACTCAAAACATTTTCTTCATTGTTATATGGAGCACATGTTGTGGCATTACAAGTTGTGGTCAAATCACGAGTGGAAACGTAGAAAGCTTCACTTGGACAACCAGTACCTTGGTACATGTATTGAGTACGGAAAGCACAGCTAACTGAGAGGACACAGAGAGCAAGAGAGATGAGGAAGAGAGCAAGTTTCATGTTATTGTTGTTGTTTAGTTTTTTTTGTTCGAAAGTGTTTAGTGTGTAAATTATGCTTGCTGACTTGAACGATTCATGTCCCTTGCCAGTGTGAGGCTTGTTACTCCTCCAGATTAGGCCCGACAGTTTAGTTTTGATTGAATGGTGTCGTTTACAATGTTGAAAGTGCTGCATGACAAGGAGTAACGACATTTGAAGCTCGCTTAATTGACCATTAATAGAAGTGGAGAATGGCGGACCAAAAAATGGATGTTGGCGGTATGTTACTCGAGTAGTAGCCTCATAATGGCGTTGTTTTTGGCGTATGAATGGATTGATAACAATGGTATTCGAAAGGTTTCGTTTTATTGTTTAATTTGTTCTTGTTTCCTTGTGGAATCAACAAGAAAATTATACAACCTGCCAAACTAAACTCAATGGAGGATATTTATTGAGATATTTTGGAAATTAGGATATTTTAACACTACAGAATAGTCGAAATGTAATTCGAAAGATTTTATTGTCTGGTTAAGAAAAACATGGTTAGGAAAGCAATCGATTGAGGCATTTGTAATATTCTCTGCAAAAATCCTTCCTTATTATCATTTCTTGGTTTGAATTTCATGTAGATCAAGACAAGTGACAGTCCTAAATTTAATTTACTCATGACATCTACACTATCAGAGGATGTAGAAAGTAACTTATTTCCGAACAATGTAAATTTATCTAATCCTAATCCATTGCATGTGAAAACAATACCTGAAGCCAATAAGATTGCTGTCACTGCATGCCAAGTGGCATTCAAAACTAGAACCGGAACTGTTTCAACCTTTTTCTCTTTTTCTAATTCATAAAATCTTGCCAAAATTCTTTTTTCTATTACATATTGAATATTAATTAATTTTCTAATGATTAGTGACAGGTATCAACTTACCAGCTAACAAATGCACTCCAACCAACAATGAACTAGTAACACCTGCAGCAAAAACACCTGAATGTTTAATGATCATTTTTTTTATTTTATTATTTGAAAATAGATTTTTCTTGCCTTTTTGAACATTAGCAACATTTCAAAAAGGAAATTGAGCGATTTTGATTGAAGCTCAAACAACCCATCATTAACAAATTGATTTACAATATTAAGATGTTATAAACTCTTCTACAGAGTGATACCAACAGTAAAATTTTATCACTTCCAAATAAGTTCTTTGATTTGAACTTTTCATTGACCGTTCATGAAAAGGGCGCCAAAATTTCATCAGATATTCAAAAACAAAAATCCCAATCAATTGTGCTGAATTGCCGGCACAATTTTGCATAGCAAGAACGCGTGAATCAACAAGAACATCGCACGTGGTGCCGATGAATAAATCATTGGCTCAAGAAAATGCTCAACAACAAGTGAGCGTTCCAAATTAATATAATAATAATGGTATGATGATGAATAGTAGTAATATTCCGAATTATATGAATAATAATAATAATGGAATGATGATGGTGCAGGAGGAAGAACCTTTCAATCCGAATTATGTTCCTCAAGAAGAGCAGATGGTGAATCAAATTGTGCTTGCTAGCCCAGTTCAACAGCAACCATTTGTCTATCAACAACAACAATTAGTGGAGACTCAGGTAATTGGTCAAGGTGCTGTTGGTGCTATTGCAAGTGGTCCAACAATTGGAATGGAATTGCAAGGAGTTTCTTCTCAGTTTGTGTGTAAGAATTTAACACCTGAAATGGTCAATGATGAATTAGTGAAGAATATTTTCTTTGCCACTGGTGGAAATACAATGATTTCAATTGTGAGCTTTATCATTAACAAGCTTATTTTAGTTGGATTTGGAGAAGCAGTAATGGTAAATTATGTAATAAGGAGACAAGTTAAAAATATGAGAATTGGAAATAGAATGTTGAATTACAAATCAAGAGGAAATATGAAATTGGCCATGTACAGTGTGGTCAATTGGATGCTGATCTTGTTTACTTTGGGATTATTTTACATTCTAGGATATAGCCACGAATTCTTTTATGCTCAACTCGATGCCAGAATTTATTGGGGAAAACCAGCAAAGGTTTCTAAAAAGAGGAATCAATATTTGAAAGAAGCTGTTTGTTGGGAACCTATTGGAACTGGAATGGGAGAATTCAAGATTTTCAGTGTTTATTTGGGAGTTGGTCATGAGCTATTGTACATTTTCTTGTACATTTCAAATATCTTCCTTCTTGGTTTGCTTTCTCCAGTCATTTACAGATTCTACTTTTCCAAATATTTTGAAAAAGTTGAACTTGGAAGAGGAAGATTTGCTGTCATTCATCCAAAAATGATTTCCTCAATTAACAAGCATGCAACCAAACGAAGCAAACTTAAAAAACACAAAATTGAACAACCAACTGAAATCTATCCATGTGAATATCCAGTTTTAGGATTTTCTCCACATTCCTCTCATGAAACTTACAAACTCCAATTGAAATTTGTTCCTGACCTTGGTCAATTAGTCAGATTCTTTGTTACTGTTCGTTTATTGACTGTTCTTTCATGTGGTTTATTTGTTAAATGTTGCTTGGAAAGTTATGCAAGGAATTTCATGAACAGAAACGTTACTGTTGATTTGGAGCTTTCTGATATGAGAATGGAAACCGAATCGCCTCAATCCCCAAACACCTTACAAGCGACCTCAACAATTGTCATTTCTCAGGTATAAACTTCAGCATTCCATCACTTTGTAAGGATTGCTCGAAGCGAGATAAACTTCCAATTTCGAATAGATGATACACTTTATTGTAAACCTACAACAAAAAAAAGAAATCATTTTCAGTAACGGTTTTTGGAAAATATTCCCTACCAGAAGTGAGACGAAACATGCTAAATTACTTCTTGATTTGTCAACTCTTACTTTTTTCCGTTCGTACAGAATCTAAACCTTTCGTCTAGTGGTGCGAAAGAAACCACAATCACCACAAAAAAATGTCATCAGATGACCAACTAGTTGTTCCAGTCAATGGTTATGCAAACGTTACACTCGATTATTACCTCCCTGTCTGGTCCTTAGCTCTCTCAATGGCGAATGCAATTTTCTATCTGATTTGTTATTCGATTTATTTGATTGCTTTGGTGGTTTTCCTTAGAAGATTTGCAAAACAAACGAATATTAAACGAAATCATAAGGTTTTGTTCGTGTTTGCAGTCCTGTCAGTGATAATTCAGTCATTGAATTTGATTATTCGAATTGTTTATGATGGAATGCATGTGGAAGCGAGGGAAATTGCTGAGCGAGGTCAATTGGTCCTTTGGGATTATTATGTTGCATTGCAGACTATGGGAGGGTTATCTGCCTTTTTTATGTATATTAACTTTGTTGGATTGTTTCAGATAATGTTTTTCGTTCAGAAAATGTTGTAAGTTTCTAATAGTTTTTAATGTAGAAAAAGTTTACCAAAACTATAGTTGGAATACTGCTGGAATGATGAGAGCCATTTCCAAAGATAACAACAAGAAACTAATCATTACTATCAATGTAATGAATGCAATCTTCACAACTGCTGCAATTTTTGTCATTATTGCAGTGTCAATATTTTTTGGCGCCAAGAAATTTAACATTGTTTCGAGGAATGTTACAACCGGAGTGTTCGTGACTGGATTTTTAATTGTTTTCTTCATGTTGATCTTTTGTACCATTATGGCTATCACCTCTGGAGTGTTGGTCATTCGAACAATTAAGGAAACCACAAGAAAAGTATTGGAATCGAGACAATTGACAGAACGAGACCAAACTAATCTCAATATTAAGGAAAATTCTCAATCAGAAATAAGATCCTCAATGGAATTTAACGTTTTCGAAAAGAGGGTAACCTCCCCTTTCAAAATAACCTTTGGTTTATTACTGGGATTGTGTTGCTGCGTTTTAGTTCAATTAGTTTCCATTGCAGTTGCTTCGACAGCTGCCATTTTGGAGAATTACAAAGTTATTTGGCATTTCTTCAACTGTCTTGGTGTTTTAATATTTGCAGTGTTGGTTCTCTTCCTTTTCTTTCCATTATTCCTTCATAGTGAGAATGCACTCAAAGAAATTGAAAAGAGAAAGAATGGAATGTTGAAACAGGGCGAATCTCAGTTCCTTAAAAAGATTAAATCTGAAATTGTGAATGAGGAAGTCGTGGTAATAGGAAGTTTGGATTCGCCAACTAGTGCAACCCCTTCTTCGTATGATGCAGCAACTCCTGTTGGAATGATTGAATGTGAAAATTAGAATTTCAGCTTTTGTAAACTTTTGGTTGTTAGGATTCTTGAAATGTAATGCTTTGAAAAGGAAACGAAAAGAAGAGCTCAAAAAGAGTTTCGAATAAAGTTCGTTTTTGGCTAACGTCGTTAAAAAATTAACCGCGTTTTCATTGACTTCAAACTTTACAATTTTAATTTACAATTATAACGGACTAATCTACAATACTACAAATCTTTGCATTTTATCTAGATTCATATATACGTAATATACTAATATGAGGTTTAGTTAACTAATCTCTTTGATGGTATTGGAAGTTTGCAATAACCACGCCAATTGACGTCTTTGCCCACTAACCAAACATTGACAAGCCACATCTAAACGACTTCTGACACACGAACTACTTTGATCATTTAAGGAGCCAACAAAAAGCAAACATTCATCAAATAACAATGTATAAAAAAACACTCAACATCCTCACTTCACTTCTTTTCTTTCTTCTTCTCTTCCAGGTTGGTTGGTGGATTGGAACCACTTCGAAAACTGTCAAATATCACTCTCGCAATTATATTTCATTATTTAAGCGTTTAGAATCGAGAAATGTCGAATCTGAAGTGATTCCAAAACTGCCAAGTCGTGGAATTGCTGCAATCTTGCCTCCAAATGAGCTAAACGAGATGGAGGGTGAGTGGCCAAAGCAAATTGGACCAGATTTTGTTCGATCTCAAGCTCTGCCAATAACTAATTCATCATTTCCAAACGAAACTATTGAATCAACCCTGAAACCAGTGATAACTCACATGAAATTCAATCATCCATACGATATCAGTCGGTATAACAAATTAGAAACACTACCAGGTACTGAATGTTCCACAATGTCAGATGCTTCAAGTGCCTGGAATCCAATTGACACTTCGAGAATGCCAAAAAAGTCGATTGAGGATTTGTTGGTCATGTGGCCAAACTTTGTGCCAGCCACAGTGAGAACAGTTCTTACAAGGAATATGATTCTGGATGGTGATAGATCAGCAACCGTTCAGTTATCAGAATCGAATAGAAATGTGATTGAAAATCCTACAGTTAAAGAAACTAATTTCGAATCCTATTTAAATGAACACATTGCCGTGTTTGATCAAATGAATAAGTTTCCCAATATGGATAGAACTCTGGAAGATTGGAAAGTAGAAATGAATAATCTTAACTTTGTCCTAAATTCAGATAAATTTGACGAATCTCAGCAAGAAGATCATTTACCAATTTGGCTCCGTGCTTACAAGAGAACCAGTCCACTAAAAGAAGTTCTTGAAGGAGTTTGTAAAGTTAGAGATATTGAAAAATCAATTCTCATTATCACCATAGATGGTGAAGCATTCCTGTCAGTCCTCTCTGAAATTCTACTTGTGAAATGCGTAAAAATTCGAATCTATTTCCATGCTTTCAAGAATAGTTTACAAAATTTGATGGGACCAAACTTTGACAATGCCTTCACACAAGAAAAGAGTACCAAATTATTGACACATGCCTTATATGGATTATATTTGTGTTTTGTCAAGTACAAGTATCCATATGTCATTACCTTAGAAGATGATATCATTCCATTCTCTGATTTTTACAATTATCATCGATCTCTGTACAAACACACAATTAATGAAGCTTCTCCATACTTTGCCATTTCATCCTATGCTCATGGAATGACTCATAATTGTAGATACACAGCATCTGCTCTGTATAGTGCTGGATTAATTAATAACATACCAAGAGGTTTTAGAGGATTCACTGAACATTGTAAATTGACAGATGTCAATCATTTGGTGATGGAAAATTATTATGCTGTGTGGGGAAGTGGAATGCCTCTGAGAACTTTTAAGAGATTATTCATTACATGGCTCTATTTACCAATTAAATCCAATCACTTTTTGGGATCATTATTGAGGGATTTGAGAAGACATGATGAGAGAATGATTAGTCCATGTTCTAATAGAATTAGTAGAATTGATAATGTTGGAATGAATGGAGAGAGTTGGTATGATCAACAGGAGAACCCTCGATGGTGGGTTGTTGCTGCTGGAATGAGTGAGAAGGCTCAACAGGATGACTATGTAACGAATTGGAAATATAATCAGAGAGAATACTCTGTTCTCCAATAATAGTAAAATTGTTAATTTATGGGAAGTGTTTTATTAGAGTACAAGTTTAAGTTTAATCTGATGATTTAGCAGTAGACTGGGCCAGAGCTAGTTGACTTGTTTAATCTAGTTCCTGCAGCTTTACTAAGAGCATTGTACAATACAGAAAAGATTCTTCTATCGAGCTCAAAATTCATCAAACCTTGAGTTGTGGTATAGTTTACAACATGAGGAGATACTAATTGACGGTGTGACGGTAAATCCCGTCTAACGGGATCCGTCAGATGTAATAAGCTGTCAAACGGGACAGTCAGCAGTAGCAAGAATGGGATTAAGGGAAATACTAATGTATCATTCTATAATAAATCCAAAATGGAAAAATTTAAAATGGAAATAAATTCACAAACACAACACCTCTGTTGTGGAATATTCACTAAAATCAAAGATTTCACTTTTTCTGTCTCAAATTTAAGAATGACATGAAATAGTTTGACTTAGTTGATTAAAACACTGTTGGGAAACTACCCTTCTTTTTATGAGAAGTTTCCTTCTCAAACAATTCAGGTAAATAGTAAACTTTGGAAAGTTCAAATTTTGATTTTTTACTGAAAATGAAAAATATGGATTAATTGATATGAGTGTGATCCCTATAACGTGTATATGTTGAAAAAGTTGGTTATCTTTGAAATTCAATTTGATCTTAATGATTTTTAAGGAAATAAGGTTAATTGTTCGATTTAAGGTGAAAGAAATGAAATAAAAAGAAAAAACAAGAATTTTATTATTTTAATATCATTGTGTAATGTTCACAATGAGTTTGGGTTGGGTTTGGGTTTGGGTTTGGGTATGGCGAAAACCTAATCACATAAAACGAACGGCTAATATTGGCTATCCAGTTCTTATATATGTATTATTAAATACATTAATATATCTATTCTGTAATACACGTGAAAAAACTCCCCGTAGTTATTGAGATAATCAAAAATGGTCAACTCAAAAATTCCTAGTATATCTATTATCTCTGCGACGAGAACGTTCCGGGTTATGATTCACTCAAATATCAATCTATATGAGTTTTGGAATAAATGATAGAAAATACTAATTTTTTTAATTCGCCGTTCCCGAGATAATTGAGTCCTAAAGTGACCCCATGGGTTGAACCTACCTTGGGTCTGACAAAGTTGAAAATTTCAAAGTTGGGCCAGAATGAAACTTTTGATATATTGTAGATATATATATGAATAGACGATATTATGAATTAATCTTGTTGAATCGGTATATTAAATAAACTACAACATGTCTAAAAATTAACTTTTCAACATTTATTGTACTATTATATGAATGTTATTACAATCATCACCAATCTCATATATATGATGTATAATGATGATATCTACCATGTATAAATGTTGGAAGTATAATATATGATATCCTTAGTATACTGTACTCATTCTACCTTAATTGACTAAGATATTGAGCCGTACTATGGAAACACTATACCAATTTATTAAACTTGTTAATAATGTAGTAAATATCAAATATAATGATATATAACTGAAATAACCATTATTGGATCCATATTCAGACTGTAGGAAGTCAACTTGTGTGAAATTGACAATACTGGTAACTGAAGGATGAATATCATACATGACTTAATTCCACTCATTGATACATGTCTAATTATCATGTTTTATGATATGAAATTAAAATAATTGAAATCTATCATATATATAGGGAGATAACCAATTAGGATGAAAGTTGGGGAAATTACGCTCACTTTTTACCAGGTAAACATTTTCAATAGGGACCCATATATTTTATTTGATAATATCGTTTATCTATGCATTTTATCGACATATAATTGGTTTCATGATTTAATATTCTATATTTCCAATTTGGGAAATGTTGCAATGTCTAATCTCAATAGAATTATTGCCATAATACCAATTATTGATTATATGTTATGAAACTGATATTATAGACTCTACTGGATGTGTATATGAATATATAATTGAAATATTTCAATTTTGACATTTCTTAATGACATGGGTAGTTCACTAAGGTAATAACTTTGCCATATAACAACTATCTAAGATGATATTGAAATCATTCCAAAATTGATTCTATGAGAGTATTTGATGATTATAACATGATAATATTGAATTGGTATTGATTCTTACCATTATTGACATGTAAGAACATTTCCTTTGATCCATTGGGTCAGTAGCTTGACAGATATTCCAATTATATAGATATTGGTATTAATCACTCAGAAACGTTATAAATATCATATATAAGAGTAGTGGTATGATATTCTATCTTGTGTACATCTGATAT